AGTATAAACTGGCCACCATAATGAGTTGAAAAGCTGACGTTTCAAGTGTTAGCCCTTCGTCAGAGCAATTGGAGGAATTGTGGGTTGTGTGTGGGTTTATATGCAGAAAATGGAGCTATGCTATTGGTGGGAATATGGTGACCAAAACACAAGAATAAATTAGTTGAATAAAAAGTGCTCATAGATACCATGAGGATAAGGAGTGCCAATTTAAAAGATAAATTTTTGTTTTAGAGTTTTGCAGCTTTCTAAACTGTCTAGATGTAGGGAAAGGCTGCAAACTGCCATTTTCTGCTAAGAATGATTGAGGAGATTAAAGTGTCCAGTGACTGATGTCCATGCCATTTCTTTCTAAGTTCCAAAGGTGTTCTCAGAATCAGTCACCTACTTGTCTTCCTGTTTTACCAATGTATAACTAGTACTACAAACAGCTGAGAAGGAAAATACTGATTGGATTCCATTCACTCTCACTTCCACCCTCACACCTAGGCTTAGGGTTATAGATTGCACTTATTGCCAAAAGTAATGCAATGGTATAAAGTTATCTTTTAAATCAGCACTCTTAATCCCCACAGTATCAAATGCATTTCATTCAACTAATTTATACTTGTTTTCTCATCACCATACTCCCACCAATAGCATAGCTCCATTTTCTGCATATATACCCATACACAACCCACAACTCCTCCAATCACTCTGACAGAGGGCTAAAGCTCGAAACGTCAGTTTTTAAACTCTTTACAGTGGCCAGTGTACATTATTAGCTCAGTTGATAATACTAAATTACCCATGATTATAACTAGGTGATTTACCATGAAAACAACAAATTACTAAGAACTAGCCAGCAGGTGAGACTAGCCGCATGAAGGCTGTGGTTGCATGGATGACTAACTGACTCTGCATGGCTGTCTGGCTATATAAAATGAAATTTTCAATTTGACTTACCACATATAAGGCTAATTAAGACTATTTGTTTTTACTTCCTTGTTTCACCTCTGATAACTGAGTATCTTGTTTTATTTTCAAAAACCAGAGTATTATTTTGATGACAAATTTTTAGTGATATACCTTACTATCTTAGCTGCTAGTTTCAGCTGTCCACGTTGTATAAAACTAAATGCAGCAAAGACTTTGCACTGTGCCACAAGAATTGGATTCCCTAATCTCAAGGCCACAAGTAACTGATGTTGAGAGATCTGACCAGCTTTCTCAGACTGTGAAAAAACAAAAAATTTAGAATTTATGACACCAGTGAGTGACACTCGAAAGCTTGAAAGACTACAAGAAAGAGGACTTAGAGCGGTTTTCAAGGATAATAATTCTAGTTATGAACAACTATTAGAGAAGGCAGATCTGCCAACACTACTAAATAGTCGCTTAGAGGATCTGTGCATCCTTATGTATAAAGTAAAGCATAAACTGTGCCCTGCATATATAAGTAACATCTTTAAAGAACCAAATAGTAATTACAATCTGCGGCAAGCAGATTTCTCTATACCTAGGTATGAGACAGTCACCTATGGCAAGCACTCTATTAGATATTTAGGGCCTAGGCTATGGACAAAACTACCCAAGAGTATCAGGGACGTCACAACCCTAACATCGTTTAAAAGCAAGATACGCCAACTCAATATAAGTGAACTTTTAGATGACGGCTGCGCAGGCTGTAGCCTTTGTTCATTTTGACTTCTGTGTATTTTTACTATAAATCTCTTAATGAGTTAACTATAGATATTTTACCTACTACTGTATATAGTTTTTTTTAGTTTGTATATTCTCCCCTAATTGGTGTCCCCAAATTAGTAAGGGATTTGTTCCCTGGCTAGACGGTTTTTTTGACACTTTAATAAAGTTTCTATTCTATTCTATTCTATTCTACCAGTAAGAGTTAGCTTGTAAGACCATTATTCCACAGTCACTAATTATTGTACTATTTCCAGTAGTTCAGTGATCATTGATTCACTTGTTAAGTTTACAGCAATCTAGTGATAAATTAATTCTGGGAATCACATTTCAGTCTAGTTACGAACTATCAAAGACACCCAACCAGCTTAGTAATTGAAAATAATTACAACTTTGCTAAAAGTCAAGTGAACATAGAGTGATTGTAGTCAACATCTGCTTCAACTGCCCATAGTCTAAGATCACTCACATATTTACAAAGATGGTCTCCCATTGCAGAATATGCCCCTCCTAAGGTTGACAACCATGCCATCACATCTTGTAACTGCATGAACTCTACAAGCTCAGCTACAAGTCGCTTTGACCTACAAATTCACCATTAATGTGAATGAGTAATGATCCAAAACTTTCAATCAGTAAAATAAATATCTCCTACTATAAAGGTACAATGAGGAGAGAATAACAATACTTCAATGATACACCTACCACCTGAGATCAGGCTCCAGACATAAACGTGCTAAAGGCTGAACACCAATGTTCACCACAATTTTACAAAATGTTGGAATCTTCATCTGGCTTAGCTCTCCTTGTATATTGATTGAACATGATTCACCAAGATCAATCACGCCATTAAAGGCAGAGGACAGCTGCTCTGCAGCACAGAGAGGAAAATAGGAATAGAAAGCCTTAAGTTATTTCAAACAAGGGAAAAAGAATAATCAAAGTGCACTGCAGCCTGAAGTGGAGCTATAGTGATGTAGACTGCCCTGACTAAAAATTTTAATATTAACTTATACCATAATTGTAACATTCCTGAGATTGATTAGTAACCACAAATTTGCCTTTATTAGCTGGAAGCTACTGAAACAATCAATTAATTTCCACAGTCTTATAAGAAGCACAACCTACAGGCATTTGATTATTATCCAAGCATTGTGGAGTGGGGAATTTGAACCTTGCCTGGTTGAGGTGAGTAATTTGAACCAGAACTATCAAGTCTTTTCAACAGAATAAATGTGTTTTATCTTTTCATATGAAGGTGTTTAAAGGTAAAAGTTCACTTTCCCAAGTAGATGGCTCTGAAGAAAAAGTCTACAAGAAATACACCAATGCTAATCTTGCCTTTTACTAAAAAAATGACGATCAAATCAGGTTCTTTGGTGGGGCATTTGAACACAATTTTGGTGCGCAGGGGACAGAACTTTGAATGAACCAATCTTTAAAAGTTCAAATGCCTAGAATTGCTTTGGGGAAGGGGGGGGGGGAGCCATCTGAACACTACTAGGACAGTCTGTGCATCATGCTTGTAATTTGAAAGTTAAAGGGGCAGTTAGCATGAAATGTCTGTGTAAGTGGACAGAATGCATCATGTGTGCGTGCTGTTGTCTCGCATTTTGCTACATTAACTTTTGTTTTTTTTTTATAAAAACATATCACCAATGTCTAGTTCCTTTCCCAAACTTTGTCATAGTTTTGATTAATTGGTATCAGGACTTTATTTCATCCAATTCTGTCTGTACTTATAAGAGTGATTGACAAAGTGGACTCTTGCTTTGTGGTTGTCGGTTTTTGTTAATCACTTGTATAATTACAGACCACATTGGACTTCACTTGATCCTATTACAATTATAAATTAATGATAAACATGGCACCCAAGCTCATCAAAAAGGCAGCAAAATCCAACTTGCCATAACCATGTCAGCCTAGATTCTGAGGTCACATCATCACGAGAAACCATAATAGTAATGGCACACAGTTTGATGTGATTTGACCTTCTTCTGCCTGTGCTCTGCCTTAGGAAGAGGGATTTTGGAGGAATGAGACCTCTTCTTCAACCCCTCCATAGGACCAGGCTGCCAAAGTTAGAAAGCTGACATCAAGGTCTATCATACCAGATTGGGAATGGATTTTAGGGAAGGTGGGAGGAGAATTTCATGATTCGATTTTAATTTTAACCTCCCCATTGAATGCTTGGTGTTTTCCTTCTTTGAAGTAGATTTGCATCAGTAAATTTTGCGATCATTCAAGTAGTTCATATTTTTTGGGTGTTGTACGTGAAGCAGATTTTGTTAAAAAGAGTAACTCCTAATTTCCTTTCCCACATTGTAGGTACGCTGTGGTATTTATGTGTAAAATCAACGATTGTCAGTTCCCAGTAAAAATCAAAGTTCTCTCACCATTTCTTTCAGTATTGCTTCTCAACTGGGAATAAAGCCATGATGATAAATGAACACCAAAGAAACGCGAGGTAGTGATCTGTTGCCAAAGTAACTTGGCAAAGATCGTATCAGCATTCAATATCACTTTTAAACACTGAGCATGTTTCCCTTCACTTTTCTCCACGAGTGAAACACATCTCACGGTCTCTCTTGATCCTCGTTCATGAAATAAGTCAGGGCTGTAATATTTTGTGCAAATAACCACTTTCCCCAGGTTAAAAAACAAGTTATTACTGTTCATTTATATCGTTCAGGCACTTTAGGCCATTACTTCTTTGCATTCGCCAAACTAGGTTCCAGTCCGAAAGCTTCTGGCCCGTCGTAGTAATGCAGAGAATGAAAGATTCCCTTAGGCCGTACAAAACTTAGGAGAGCCTCGAAGAAAACGAGACTTACCCATAGATAGAAATAAATGTGGGTGAAAAACAAAACTTTTACTACTTTGGATGATCGAAATATTCAAATATCATAGTAAATTAATAAATACTGAAAATTAACTCTTTGTCAACGTGTTGTCAGGATGGCCGAGCGGTCTAAGGCGCCAGACTCAAGGATAACATCCTTCTCGTGTCACACGAGAGCGGGCGTTCTGGTCTCCAAATGGAGGCGTGGGTTCGAATCCCACTCCTGACAGTAACATTTTTTTTTCTCCACAGAAAAAGTTCATATTTAACATTTTTTCAAAAAGTGAAACTTAAGTTATGTCTCAGAACAAAAAAAATAGATAGAGGTTGAAGCTCCTTCTCTTTGTAATGTTTTCAAGGCCTCTACCAACATCACTATGGTCTTCGGTATTATTATCATTATTATTGTTACCATTATTGTTATCATTGACCTGAAATAAATCGACCAGTCAAACGTTTCAGTTTCGTGTTTTATTGTGTAATGATACAACTAAGGTCACACCACGTGTATAATGAAGACTGAAACAGCCTGGCCAATAATTGCCTAAGAAAAGACATACGTTTTATCTATTTAAAAGCAAAGGTGAAAACTTATATTCTTAAGATTTTAACCAACCTCAAGTCACTTCAGACTTTGATAGAATATTTTTTAGAGAATTGTAAGAATTTTAACCTTTTAGAACTTGCGAACATACTTCACTGCTACTCTTTTCATTTTATAATGTAACCACTAAGGTGATTAAATACTTAACGAAGGCTCCATTGAAATATCGGCATGGCGCGTTGGTTTCCCTCATTTGATCTTCTATTCTCAACATCGTAACTACTTTGACTTTTACAGTTGAAAACTGTATCACACTCACCATCCATCATGGAATAGAGAGTGAGCTATGCAGCCAATAAGGTTACGACATTTGCGATAGAGCGCTTGTAAATTTATACTAATTTCGCTTAGATTACCACCAAGAGAGCGAGGAAATAAGAGCAGAGAGAGGTGTCTACCGAAGGCCAATTGAAAGGTCTGAGTAAACCGTTTACAGCTCAGAACAAGTTATATCCGCAGTCCAATTGATAATATAGAAAGACGAGTTTCAGCGCGAAAGAAAAGAAAAGGAAAAAGATATCAGTTTAACCCTTCGTAAAGTGACGCCGGCCGGAAGTATGGATTGTATCCAGATTGTTTTAAATCCACTTGGCCAATCGGCCAGGGAAAATGGGTAAGGGAACGATAAGTTCAGTAGGGGAAATATAACCCCAGGCTGATAAGCAGAGTGAGTAAGTGTCAAAATATTAGTTTTCAGCGAAATCTGAAGCTACCACCGGGCCTGCGAATCAGTTAAACATCGGCCTTCAACGGAGAAAAGGGTACAAACGCCATTTACCCCGGAGGTAATTCTACCTAAGTTATGTTTGCTTTTATCATAAACATGGATCAATTTTCAGGAATAATATTTATACCAATGATAGAAATGATGCCATCTCACAAACTTGAATACAACAGTTTAAGAACTTACTTAAATTTTAATTCTTACTTATTACATAAGTCTTAGAGGAAATGCACACGATAAGGAGCTGGATGAATTTCCCACAGAAAATTTACGTTTACATGTTTATAAAGATGAACTAGCCTGTGGTAAGCTGAAATTGCTGTTTTTTAGCGGCTGGAGAAAATTTCCTTCAACAGCTTGCAAAAATGATTGCAAAAAGAATATTTCGGATTTACACAAGGCTGAGGAAAAGAAACCAAATAAAGATTTGAAAACTTCCCGAAAAGTAGGTTTATCTGATAAACTGTTTGTCTCTTACACTTCACATCTCTTAATAGTAATGAAGTTATCTATGCTCAAGTGACGAACCCTATTACATTTTTACTTCAACACCACGTACTCCACTTTGAGTCCATGTACATTTCCTCGTCATCTGAGTCATGTGTTTCATGTGGTCCAACAGAGTCTGAGTCCGAGTGCTCTATCTCGTAACTGTGTATAGTGCAGAGTGGATCTTGGAACCTGACTTGATTAATGCTTCCCTCTGAGCTACCAACTGAACTATCTGTACTCCTTGGTGTGCATTCTAAAAAATAAAAATGTAATGTGACGTGAAACCAAAACAATGACAACAGCAGGAAAAATCTGAAAAGTTTAAGATGTCTTCAGTGACCATGAGATTTATAGAAGTCGGCGAGCACCTAAACATGTGTACCTTGTCTGAATTTAGTAGCACGTCCTTTCTTTTAAAACACAGTTAATGTCTGAAGTTCAAGTAAATTTTCTGCGGGGAGAGTATTTGAATAGCCTCGAAGACTTACCTGGAGACATTCGAACTGCTTCAATAGACACATAAGAACTTGGAATGAATCCTTCCAACCCGTCATCTCTCATTACCCACCACCAATCCTGATCATCTCTATTGAAAACCGTCACGACTTCTCCTCGCTGAACGTCCACATCATTCTCATCAGCGGCATGAAAGTCAAATAAAACCATTACAGACTCATTTTCAAACTTTCGGAAATGGCTCACTTGAACTTTCTGCCGACGCCTGTAGGTCTCAGGAGCTTTGCGATCCCAGTTAATAAGATCGGACATCATCGTGGCAATTCGATTGTCGTCGGATAAGTCTTCTAGTGACGATGAAATTTTCCTACTTAGCGACTCACAGTCGTTGTGAGAACAAAGAGATTCCTCACTCCGACTTCGATGAATATGGGAATTAGTGGAAGTAACTGTTCTTGAGTAATAAGAGGCATCTACAAACTCGTGATGGCAGCCATTTGTTTGCCATGAACATTTTTCGTAGTTTGTTCTCTCACTTTGAGGATGGTAAACATTTGACACAAAATCGTTTTTCCTTAATACAGTGCAGTAATTAAAGGGTATAAACCCACTCTTTCCTTTGTTGTTGACAGCATAAACCTTGCTTTTTTCTCGGTAAAGAAGTAGTATAATTTCGCCTTTTTCGACTTGTAAGTCTGTTCGTTCAACAGCAATATATCTCCATAGAACTCTGGCCTTAATGTGAGCTGGATGAGCTGGAGTGGCGGCTAAAAGCTTTGATGCTAGTTCAGTTTTTGCAATGTCTGGAAGAGAGAACTGTGCGCGTCTGTATGTACTGACTGGGTTATACACCTGACTTATACCACTGTCACTATCATCATCTTGTTGGTCAATGCCCAGCTCTGTTTGTCCGCCGCCGCCCGGTAATAGTGGATTCAATGTATGCAGCTTCATTTTCCTTGCCTTTTTCATTGTATAAACTGAGGGAAAAAAAATGGAATTGGTTAACGTTCGAAACTGATTTTTTGAACGGAAGTTGTCTATCAGTGTGGTATTCACAATAAAGAACTTAGGCAGAGGCGATTTTGAGACGCGGACGGCAACCGGCAAAAAAATATAACTTTCGCGGGCTTTGACACCAATTTATCTACAGTAGGGTAGTCGTTTTTAGCATTATAAATTAAACTGTGCTGATCGAAAGGTTTTTAGAGCATCAGGAATGAGAACTTGTAACTTCCACCTCCCGTCCACGTCTCAAAAACGTTTGTGCTTAAGCTCTCTAATGCCGTCTACGCGCGCGAATTTTCCTGTAGCGCGTGCGGCACAGAGGTCTAGACGAGTATTGGGAGCACTTACTTTCGTTGGATTCGTGCAACATATCTTAAGTTAACAATTTGATTATCGGTATTTTGGAAACACAAATACAATCCTCTTATTTCAGTTTCTTTCCCTTGTTTATAACTGAGTTGTCAGGAAGGGCAATTGTGTGGTGATACTTTTTCCAAGAAATACCTAAACATTTATATGGGCCGCTGAATCTTTTCCTCTGTCACAGGGCACTTTTTCGTTTCAACCTAAGTACTACTCGATATCAGTGAAATCCCTGATTATAAATAAATACGTGATACCCAGTAGTTTCAACAAAATCTGGTTATCAGTTACTACTGCCGCCTATAAGACCTCTTACCGAGCAGGCCCTTTTGTTTGGGTTCCACACAGCTAAACCAGTGGTACAAGTTGCCTTATAATCACTGATGTATGCAGTACGTGGACATTTGTTCATTGCCATGCACAAAAAAAGCGGAAATGACCGAATTTTCATTCTTTTACGAGAAATTAACCTTAGTCAAGTTCTACATGCAAGGTATTCAGTGACATTGTTATAATTTAGAGAAAACGTGCCATGAATTTAAGTGAAATTGACCCAAAATCCAAACAGAATCCTTTTTCCAGTTGATGAAATTTGAATAAGAATGCTTTGTGCTTTGAATGACGCACTCATCAATTCATGCTTGCACGTAGATACACCATAGAAGTTTTGGACGTTTAAAAAATGATTATATTCCTTGATCTCCTATCAACAAGTTCCTTTTCATCGAATATCCAAACATAAAGCTCATACTTTCCAAATGATTTTGCCTTTTCTTCAAAGATAAAGATGTTAGAGCTTTGATGACAGTGTAAATCACTGTCACTTTACAAGTGAGCTTTTTGATACCTTTTCTCTTTCTAAGGATAGTTTTTTTTTTGAGAGCAATTAAAATAATTAAAATTAAAAACTTTATTTTCCTCAATAACACAAACACCCCAATTTCTCCAATTTACAAACTAAAAATAGTACGACTGACGCATTTCTCGAGTTACTAAATGAACTTCCTTCTTTTTCTCTGAAATCGATATAGGACTTTCCGAAAATGAAAACTAAAGAGGATAAAAAATGATATAAGAAAACGCCACAGATCAGTCCATCAGTCGTTGTGAAAATTGTGCAAATATAAGCATAATATTCTATGACACTTCTCATATTCTAAGGGAATTGCTTTGTTGTTTTCTGCCAGTCCTTGGGGACGTCATGTTATGATAATTCAAAACCTTCGCAGATTAGGAGGTTTGATTTACCTACATCACTCCAAAGTCAATCCCATCAGTGTTATATCGACAAAATTTAAGCTATACTTACGAACTAGGGAAACAACCATCATTGAAAGTCGATCGAAGCACAAGAAAACGGCTTTAGAATTATTTCATTGCCAAAAAAAGCCGGTTGATTAGTCCTCAGTTCCATTTTATGCATAATCGTTTGGAATGTTACCAATATTACAAACACTTCTTAGATGATACTTTTACACAAAGTTTGAATTTCGAAATTTCCTGGAATAACAGGCACTTTGCTCACCGTCTTCTGATTGATCGTAATCCCAATCCATGTTTGACGGTTTTTTTCGGTTGAAATGCAGCTTTAGGGAGGTCGCTTGACACTTGAGTCAAAATGTAGTGTGTCGTTGAAGGAGGGAAACTCATTAGCAAACAATCATACAAGTCTCGTGCTTCACAGCTTTTGGCGTTACCATGGCTACGGCAGATGCTTGACGCGTACGTTCATTACAGCCTACTTATGTCGAGTTTTTAATGGATACCTCGAAATATTCAGGATTTAGATTCACTCTGTGATCCTTGATATGGCGTATTGAAATCATTTGTTTAATATCAAGGAGACGTTAAGCTACGCTTTGGATTTGCAGCCGTCCAATTTGAAAGGTCTAAAACAATAAGCAATTTAAGAAAAGAATAAAAATATTTTCTTTTCGGCGAAAAAAAGTGGGAGCAGGTGCTTGGAACATAATTAGAAATCGGAAGGATGACAGGATATCAAAGAGAATTCGATATCTTCCTGTATTTGAGAGTTCTTTGTCATGTTCAAACCTTGAATATACACAAAAAGCTATCGGATAGATCAACTATTCTTATATTAATACTCAATTTAAACATGTAAATTTTAATTCAAGCTGAAGGAGACTTAAAAGTTATTGTTCAAAGTCGTATTGCCCCTCCCACTGTTTTTTCACAGCACAAGTAAGAGAAGAGGATAAAATGTATTTGAATGATAAAAAAAAATTCCAAATATTTGCTTAAGAAAATATTGCATTCATGTCTATCTCGCAAACCACTCACGGTTTCATGAATCTCTTTTCAGTACCTAATTCTGGTGACTGATGTTATATTAACCTAAATTTGAGGTGCACAATAATTTGCGAAATAACTCTTAATAATCACAAGCACAATTATCCATTACTGAAATTGGCTAAATTTGAAAAGTTTCTTCTTTTAACGAAGGATAACTGTTGTTAGCAAAATTCAGTTCATCGAATAAATTGTCTGTCTTTGAGTTTTAACACATTTAAGAGCTAAACTAGATTTGTTTTACCCCCAGATGCTTTAGCCGTTCTGTTTGCGTGGTTAAAGAATCCATATATCAGTTTATTCAAGTTTATTGGCTGACAATTTGCGGGAACACGTCATCTTTAATATTCTAGAGAAAGAGAGAGGGAGAAAGCTGGCATACCAGACCTGTATTACTGCACAATGTAATTCATAATTTCTTATTCTCCAGAAAGCTAGACAAAAAAGCTGATTGCGCTGCTGCTTTTTCCATTCCGAGAAAGCTTATTAACTGAATGGCGTGGAAAAAATTGTTTTCTAGCGATCTGGCAACCTAAAGTGAACATCTCACTTTCAACATCCATCTTCTTTTTCGATCAGTCAATGGGAAAATGTAATTAACCTTGAGGAGAATCTCTGTGGGATCCTGATTTGAAATTGCATTTTTGATGGAGATTTTAGCATCTCGTGGTCGAATTACACTTCAGTGACTGAAGCAAAGCATTCTGATACTATTTTGGTACAAAACATCTTTAACGAGCAGAAGACATTTTAATGGCCTGTGTGCATTGTTGGATTCCTTCTGAAAGGATTCCTTTTGTACGCTTCTGCGCGCTAATTTAATGTTACAGTTTTACAAACCCGATGGAATGGACTGTGCACCAGTTTGGCCTTTAGTAAAAAAAATCTAAATTTAAAAAAAACTTTCAGCAACATTAGTAACAAGAATTTATTCTCAATCATTCTCCCGTGAGTTTTGTCATGTTTAATTGTCTCTAATAAGTTTTTGCTTAGCCAGTCATCATCCTCTTGTGTTGCTATTATCAACATGAATATTGAAGAAGGTAAAGAATGTTACTAACCCGTACATTCTGATGTTTTGATTTGACTTACTGATAGAGAATATCTTCCAGACCGCCTCATAAAATTTTCAGAACGATTGCATGAGAAAACTCACGCTAAAGAGAACTAGAAGGTGCAATATCCGCCATAATATGGATAATCTAAAACATACGCGTCAGCGGCGCCATTAAAGGTAAATCTGACAACATGAAACCCTATTTACAAAGCAGGAATATTTGTGTTGAGAGCGCTGAGTTGAATTAACAACGGAAGGATTATCATAAAATTAATTACTTTATCCCTTAAACAATGTGCACTTTTGATATCTAAGGTAGCACCACCCAGTCAGTCCTTAACGCTCTACAAGCTGGGCTGTCAGGTTGAAAAAATCCACTGGATTAGACTTATTACCCATAAAAAAGAAACAAGAGTCAAACACAGTTGTAGGAATAGAACTTGATAAGGTTTGTCAATTTGCGCAGTAAGCCACTTAGTGTGGGAACGAGACACATTAGTCACCAGGCTTATCCCAGTAATGTACCATCTCTATTTCCATCACTGCACAAACTTGAGAAATATATCGACATACATCATCTTAGTCCAATGGCCAAGCTGTCCCTGAAGTAATTTGTAACACACTGATCAGAAGTTTTACTCCCGCTACGACTGAACACTTGATTTCTTTCCTGAGCATCGATCGATTACCTTCACTGATTTAAAAAAGGAAAAAAACCTGTGATGATAATATTCCTTTCCAACACAGGTACCTTAAAGTATTTTCTTCTTTAGTCTACGAAAAGCTCGAATGTGGAAAAGAAACTTGATTCTGGTTACAGTTAGTAACTCCACCGTGTGAAATCTGAAAACAAGCTGAACACAGCGTAATTCGAGCCGGGAAGGCTGAAGGCGATTAGCAACCTAACCTAATCTCAACGCGTCAGTTAACTAATATCATGTAATGACCAAAGCTGATCAGGATGCTGCCCCACCAAAAATGTCCAGCTGCCAAACGGAAAAAGAGGCTGAGACGCGCAGATAATAAACAAATTGATTTGCATTGCGAACTGAGGTCAAGGAGTGAAGTTGATGTGAGCTCATTTTCATCGAAAGTCTTAGTAAAGTACGTAACTAGAACATTCCTGATGATATAGTTAAAACGTTGTCGAATTCCACACTCAATGGGTCCAAAGTATGAGAGGTCTAATGCTACAGGCCTACAAATACAAGAAGGGTATTCGAAATTCTTGTCCTCCCCTTCTCTGCTTTTCGTTTTGTCTCTCTTTTTCTCATAATGCCACTCTAGCTGGAGGGAGCCTGTATTAATTCCCTTCGTTCACAGCAAAAGCCTGTTAAATACTTTTTTCTTCATTTCTCATGATTGTTTTAATTCTTTGGTGATAACGACCTAACGACCTAACGACCGTTTCAATGACGACTACAATGTCTAAATACTTCGATATTCTGACGACATCTAAAAAAAAAAAATGAGCGTAGGTTATAGCCCAAGTTGCTTTGGTAAACCTCGAAAAATTTCTAGAATTAAATGTAAAATGAATTCGCAGACCTTTCACAAATAAGAAAACCGTAACAACAATTAAAATGACAATTACATCGATTTCTAATAATATTTTATTTATTACGATTTGACACATAAATCTTGAAAACTTTCATACATAGTTGTACCATGAACCATGGAGACGACCTATTGACATAATAAATCTAGAAATCAGATGAAGTCTTTATCTTTTGATAAAATAATTTATCAGCTTTGTGCAAACACTTCTACCATTCGTCTACTTAAAGCGGAAACAAAACTATGCAAAAATCCAAAAGCTTGCGCAAAAAGTAAACAGTGTTGTGAGTTGAGACTCGACAAGTTTACACGACTTTCTAATATTGCGTCAAGAAGTCTGTGCTGTGTCATGCTTGTAATATTTTTATCACTGATTCCAGTAGAAAACTACAAAAAAAATCCACAATTAATTCAATGTTCGGTCAGCCTTGTCCGTTGATATCGAAAATACAACGGTCAAATCTTTAAATTAAATGACTGCGCATAATTCTTTCTTCGCCGTTCAGAAATTAAATGTAAAAAAAGAGATGGTATGGACGAAAAGTGGACCTGGCACAATTTGCTGTTCGAGATACAATTGTTCTCCATTCAGCGAACGATGTCCATCGCAGAGCTTTTCAGTTGGGTGTATTTCAAGTGGAAAAGCGCGATAATATGTTAACAGTTTTCTTTCAAGAGTCACAAACAAACTCTTTTGTTTTGGATACCGGTTACCAATTCGGCTTAATCCTTCCAAGTGTAAAGACATTTGTTGTATCAGACCTTGAGCTGACTAACTCGTATTTGCCTGAGCCTGAACGAATTCTGAAATACAACACGAGATGAATAGTTCGTCCAGAGATCCAACCGTTGAAAGGAAAGTATAAGGAGGATCTCACTCTACACTCTAAATTTCTAAACCTAAAACAAGAAAAGTAGACCACGCGAATTGTTATCACGCTTATGTTTGTTTAGTAAAGCTACACAACTAAAAAGCATTGTTATGAATTCTTAATCTTTTCATCTCATGTTCTTCATGTTTTTTATTTTTTTTTTATTTTTTAAAACTTCCATCTTGAGTATATTACTGTAATGTGCAATCGAAAATAAACCCAGTTTAAAAATGTTCAAAACGTTGATCATGAAGCAATATTGACGGTATATTTACTCATAATCACCGTGGAAAGAATGTTATTTCTTTAGATGAAGATTTTACGACCCAACCCCTGCCGTGGAATTTATTTCGTTTCTTATTCAGAAAATCGACAAATCAATGTTGCACAGTTACAAGACAACAACAACAGGGCGACGAGCCGGGTTCAATGAATAAAAATGAGCTCAGAAATTTTCAACCCAGGAATGCTTACCTTTAAACTTCCCTGAGTTGGCAGGTTTCCTATTTCTTCCAATTACGGACGGACAAAAGAAAGCCATTTAACGTCCCTGAGTATGGTCGGCGATTGATTAAAAGGGTTATAACTGACGTCTTGACTCTAGATCCTTTGCAAAGAGAGGTCGAAGCCAATAACCGTGTGGGGAATTTTAGGCATCTGTTGAGTTGAACTACAAGATACAGCAATGGCAGGATAACGACTAGAGCTCTTATCTCATCTCAACGCTTAAGGTCTGACCGCCCACGCGATTTTAGTTTTTAAGCCATGAGACCATGAGGCAATTTGTCGAAAATCCTATTAATAACATCAATCTTTCCTTGTCAAAGCTCGTAAAAACACCGTAAATGGCTACATAATAAACGGCTTGAAAATCTCCCACTTTCTCTGTTTTGAACATTGATCGAAAACGGAAACAGGAAATGGTTACTAACCTCCCTCATTAGCGAGCGGTAAGTCACCTTCTCCAGCGTAAATCACGACACACAATACTCGCCAACATCATCGTCAACTGGTCATTAATTTGCATTGGATTGCCACATAAATTTACAAACAGCGCGTTAAACTTGAGCCCCGGATCCTCAAATAAACACGTTACAACTACTCAGATTACTAAATCTTTACCAAGGGATCTTACCCATGTGTCGCTCGTTTCCGGTGGAATCATATCACTGTGCGACGAGAAAGGCCACGAGATTCATCCCACAAGGCGTATGACAGCCGACCGGTAACACTGGATCGTTCCTAGACAATACCTGTCAATATATAATGATGGTCAGTTGATAAGTAACTTTATTGCCTGTACATAAGAGAATTGATTACCTGTCACTACCCGCATGTTTGGTTGGATGTTGAGCAATGCTTGATCTCTATTTGTACACTTCTCTCTCAGGGTCAAAAGGATCATTAATACTGTGCGAAGAATATTTTCATCCCTGAAAAATACAACTTAAAGGCTATATTGGCTGGCAAAGCCTTTTCTTTCCGGCACAAGTAAATTGAAAAGCTCTATCTGGCAATAAATTATTTACTTCTCGAGAGAGCTGTTAAGTCAATGCTCACAAATCTTTTCCTGAAAATGAAGTTAACTTCTGCAGCATTATTCAGTAGTGAGTTGGAGGGAACAAGGAGAGGGTAAAGGCCCATCCAGCCCTTAGAAAAAAAAACGGGTGGATAGATTAAGGTGGGGTGGGTGGGTGGGTGGGGCTGAGGTTATACATTGGTATCTTACCGATTTATTACTTCACCTCGACGATTTTCGCACGCTTCCTAGGAATACCTGTAGTTACCAGTTTTCCATCAATTCCGTCGGGTCGATCTTGTGGTCCACAGCCTTTACTGCTTGTGCGCCTATGAAGCCTTTCATTCTAACGTATGCTCGGTTTTAACGCTGAACTTTACATCACCATGTGTGTACAAGAAAAGTTCGTCGCTTTAAGTCCACTTTCATTTGATACGGCTCAGCCGTTCTTCCCAACTAGTCTAGGCTGGAATTTCGACTGTGTAACTGCTTTAGTTCCGACGCCGAAGTTTTCTTTTGCTTATCCAAGGTCGGCTTCGGAATCAACACCCGTACTTCATGAATTAGTACATAGTTAGTAGAGGAGACTACTAACTATGATTAGTATGTCGGTCTAAATTCAAATAGACCACATGATATAAAAGAGTCCGTAATCAATGACTTTCAAAACCTCATAAAGTGTAACAGGGAGACTGGAGAAAAGAGAAAAAATTCTACAGTAGTGCCTGAAAGCAATAAAAGCCCGCTTCATCAGTATCAGTTCAACAAACGCATCGTAAAGACAATTTCAAAATATAACAATGTGTTAATCCAATCATTCCGAAATAAAAACGTTGGCTTAGATTTTTAAACATTGCTAATTGACAAGTCCTCAAACAAAGGAATTAACATAATTAGTTAACTCTGACAGAAGTCATTTATTTAGTAAACTGATCCCTGGCATTAAAATAAAGCACTGAGTCTACATCCTTTGTTTGCATGTGACAAGCTATCAGATGGAACGTACGAGTCTAGGAATGCAAGGCAAATTCCAGCTTAGGTTAATGCTGTAAAACGCCGGTTAAAAGAAAAGATCTTTAATTGGCGAAAGTTGTTATACCATGGTATTAATGTGGTTAATTAACCCAGAACTTGGATACAACTTGGCGATTTGAGCATGAGAGAGAAAAATCCGAAAAACATTACTATGGAAATCAGGCTAGTCCAAGATTTTAGTCTGCCTCTGCGTCACTTTTGAGGAGATCTGTACCCTGATTTTGACATGGAAAGTTTTAAACCATCTAAATTTCCATTCGCCAATCGTCTGAATTGTCGGCAATGGCGAAGCGACACAGACTTGCAATCATCGCTTCCTCCGATCCAAAACCGCATTGAGGAAACGAAATCAAAGCAGCTAAATAGCAGCGGAATACGTCCGAGTCGACCTGGAACTCCCAACGTGTGTAGGGCACAAACATTGTTTTCTTGCGGTAAAACATCCAGGCTATCGCCAAGGACCTCCCCAAAACGACTCTCCCTGTCACTTGATTTGAGACCAGTTATAGAAGGAACTTGTTTAAGACGGCACAGTGGTGGCTTAGTGGATAGCTCCACTAACGATGAGTGGAGCCCTCGGCCGTGTGTTCGAAGCCTTCCTCCCAGCCCGGCGTTACAGCGAAGCCTCCATCGTTCCTTGCGACACGTGTCGACTGATTCCGAACAGGTTGATGACAAGTTTAAAGATGATCGAATATTGAATTGGATTCGTGATGTTTCGGGGAAGACTTTTGATCAAAATAGTAACATTGACGACGATGACGAAGAAGTATTTAATAGTTCTTATGAAGCTAAGACTACAGAGGACCCTTGTGTTACTGGTCTTCCCGTCATTCAAGAAGGGCAAAAGGTTTAAATGAGAAAACCACAGGAAACACACTTCAGTCTATCATTTTTTTATCTCTAAATACAGATTGGTTGCACGAAAGACAAAAGTCTCCCTTGGAGGATGTTGCTTAAAGAGGGCTTGTTTGTCTGCAATCCACTGTTGCGTAATTTTTAGTGCGATAACAGGATTGTATTTTATGTAGTTTATGCGCCTGAAATAAGATCACGACGCCAGCTACAAGAGTTGAAATACATTCAATCTGCACAACCAAGTTCAGCACTACTTGAACTTCATACATGCTTGACCAGTCCCGGCAGACATATTAAATAATCAATTCACATCTTGCCTACCGTAAACCAAACCATGAGTTACAAAGTCCAATTTCACAGGAGTTGTCATGAAAGAGTCCAAAATGTTCAAGGCATGACCCAATACTTTAAAAATGACCCAGAGTGTACTGAGGGCCTTTTTCCGTCTTATCTGAATATCAAAATACTGACGAGGATAAATAAAGACGAGTTGTAATAAAGAGAACTTTTGTTTCAATTCAGGAGGTCGATAAGGTTGAATTTTGGAGTAACATGGAAACGTTAATTTAATTGAGATTTAAAAAAAAAAGAAAGAAACAGCATAAAAGATGGGAATAGTACTGTTTGAATCACGTGCTTCTTCCTCACTCGAATCAGTGTCCTTTCGTCTTTGTATCAGGCGAGTTTTCCATATGTAAAAAGCTGTTCAGCCAATATTCACACTATTCGCGTCCAAAACTGAAACTTACTTTTAGTGTAATTCATAATTTTCACTTCGTAAAGAAAGCGAATCGAGAAGCAATCTCCTGTAAACGAAATAGGCCTATGACGGCAACTTAGCCTTGACATTCATCATGAATGGATTTGGGGGGAATGGGACAAAAAGGGGGAGTGCCATCAGTTTTCCTCTATTTTCACCAGGGGGGAGGGGTATAATAATATATTGTTAGTGTGTATTGTGGTTTCCATCTCTCTGAAATCCCCCCCCCGAACCTCTTTCTTTATTTGCTGCATTCACTGAACCCTTCTCTATTCACTGATGTGAGACAAAGTTTCCATTCTTTTCCTTTTTGCCAAAACTGTAATTCATTTTTAAAAAAATATAAGCCATTAACTGCACTTATCATTATTTTTCTATTTCCATTTTGAATTCCAAGCAATGTACACGAAGCATGTTTAAAAATCCTTGCAACAAGCAATCTTAAGTGCAAACAAGAATTTATGGCACACTGATTCTACTGAACATGCATGCAGACAAAAGAAACTTAAGCTAACTCCTCTATTACCTTGTCCATATAAAATAAATAATTCCTACATTGGTAACAGGCTTTCATAAACGACAACCATATACATATGTTTCTTTTCTTTATAAGCAAATGTACATTGTTTTTTTTTAGTAGTGCTGATAACATGTACTATATGGCAAGATCTACTCTCTTGCACTACAGCCAACTTGGTGTAGGAGACTGCTTTTCTGTTGATGTAACACAGTGGCATACACTTATCAAGGGAGCTGAGGGTTGAAAATAGAGTTGTCTAGATTTCACTTCATCCACCATTCCTGCCTTCTCTTGGCCTTCTAAATGACAAGTCCATAAGCTTTACTATTAGGTCAGCTATGACTTTAATTTCCAGAGCAGCAAGAGGACCAGTGACAGAGTACTTCCTCCATTTCCTGACAGGGCAACTCACAGTGACCATACCAGGCATGACATACCCCAACATACATGTATGTTGTTTAGTCTGAGTCATATTCAGGTGGCCTCCGCCATGGCTGAATTTTAAATAAACCCTCAGCTGTAGCAGAGAAAATTAGAACAAATATTGATTGCTACAAGTGTGAACATTAGTACAAGTATGAATATTATGTTTTTGCTTTGAAAATTAAACATCAAAAGATCAGTAACCAGCAGGAGTAGAGTCCATTAACAAATCCATATGGGCCTAATATCACATCATCTGAGTGTGCAGTCAACAAATAGAAATGAAAAAACTTAACATGAGTGTTAGAATAAAGTATTTACCTGGTAGGTCCCTGGCACCTCTTGCATTTCCGAGTGTTTGAGCAGAAGGTTTTATGTCAGACCCAGCTGGTGGCCGACTGGCTTTCAGAGGTGTGATTGATGCCTGCACTGCCCAGTCTGGCCGACCTGTTCGTGAGTTTATTTTTGATCCACCAGGCTCTGATTCAGAGACAGAGTTTCCCTAATTTAAAAAAAATATGGCATGTGTTCCCATAAATGTGGGCACGGGATTCCTATTTTAGCTTGATTTCTAGCTTTAATTAATAGTTAACCTATTCAATTGATTTTAAACATTAACTCACCTACATCAGCATCATTATATTTGCACACAAGTAGTTGTTTCTAACTATCAGATCAGCTTTTCATAAGTGCAGGTAGTCAAACCAATAAAGTGAAGTAAATTGTCTCTCTCTAGTTGTTTGGGATAAATGTGATTCTCTTAAAATGAGCATTTAAATTGATCCAAAAAATCATTTATAGTGTTCCTAAAAGATAACCTGTTGTGGAATGGTACTGTATAAGCCAAATTGAACTCTACTTAAGCACATATTGCTGCACATAAATTGACTCAATGAATTAAAACACAAGACCAAATAATTTTTAATAGTAGCTTTTTCTTTAGTAGTAATAATGTATTTCATTTTATGCCTTGAATTAAATAAAAAATAGAAAATTTAGGTACTCAAGTCAGTAAGATTACCCTGACCTCAAACTCAGCACTTGCCACTACAGTACCAGCATCTGAATTATAATTATAAACTGAGTTTACATGACAGAGTACTTCTTCAGGGTATTTTTGATCACCCACTCTCTCCCTAAACCTTAATCACTGTTTTCAAACTCTGCAACAGGTGCTTTTAAGTTGGTTACATTGTGGTTAGTTTGTGGAAATTGTAACGCAATTACTTTGTTTTTGCCCTGGGCACTAAAGGCAGTGGAACGTATCGACATGTTTCAGCCTAGAACCATCCATCCAGCTTGAGGTAAACATTTTCTTAAAAACAGGGACATGACCTACACTGTACCAATGACTCACCCTAATAACCCTTGAATTTATTCAAATCCAGTATTTATGGGAATTTGACATAAGTTTTCAATATTGTGGATCACTCTATAGAATGATCCTTACTTACAGTAACAGAGTGAATTCTTGGTTTGGTGGATTTAAATGCAGTTCCTTTCTTAGATGAGTACAGATGATCATGTTGATCACTATTATTCGACAGGTTTGTTGACATGTGGCACCGTCTGCAACAAAACAAATTGCAGAAGTAACGTCATGGAAAGTAATGAAAATTCTCTGAATGATGAACTAAAGTAAGCGGTATAAATCAGGAATCACAAGCTTTGTGCAATAACTGTTTTACTTTGCTATAGCATCTGTCAATTCCATTGCATATTATATACAAACTCACCTGCAGCCTCCTACACGTCCACCACTGGATGACTTCCTCTTGATGTCATCGGGATGTGGATCAGGACCCCGCCAGGGAGGAGCCTCCCAAGCTGTTGATGTTTTTTTGGTTCCTGTTCCTGCCTTTTTGTATAGGCTGCCTTGACTTAGGCTTTTTGACATCACTCTACCTGCTGGAATGGACTTTGGGGATCCTGGAGGAGACTGTTTGGTTTGAAAAATAATGTATTTTGAAAGAACTGAAAATTTCTGATAACACTTCTTTAGTGTGACTTACAACATTCAAAAAATTGTAAAGAGCTGTTCGTTTCAATCAAATTAATGTTATCAAAGGTCTTAAAAATAAAATATAAAAATGATTTTACCTTCGGTCGAACATACTGTAATCCTTTAACACATTCCAGATAATGTCTTTTCCACACCCCTTGTTCAAAAGGTGTTGGCACAAATGGTAAAATCCAACCAAACTTAAAACATTTGGGCATCCAGATCTGATCAAGCTCAGACAAATATTTCCAGAACCAACAAACCTGTGCACATCGACAAAGACTTCGAGGATCCAAAAAGGACATGATGTAGATAGAAATGACACGTGGAAGCTTACGGGTAAAGTCCACATGTGTTATTGGAATTTTTTCATCAATCAGTGAGAATGTATATTGCAGCTGAGAATTCTTGCACTTTGATATTAGGATTTCGAGAACCAGTTTTCTTTGCACATCAGACCACCTATCAAACTGTAAATGTGTATTACATGCATTAACAGCAGCATTCTCTAGGGATTTTGTAGCAGCCAGCCATTCAAAAATTTAGAAGGAGGAAAGAAAACACTGACTAGTAAGGGATAAAATAAATTTCAGATAAACAAGGCTATAATACTTCACTCTTTTGTCTAATTAATAAACAAGTAGCCAGAGAAAATTCCAGATGCAGGAGCTTCGAGAGAAATTATACCAGTAACCATCAATTGAAAGTAACAATCAAACCTCAGCTATTTGTGACTTTCGTCTGAATGTTTCTTATTTTGAAGACTACAAAATAAATACAGCTGTATTCAGTAACAGCTAGATAAGGTTTTATCAAACAATCATATGAACTAAGATGAGAGTGACCGTTGATGCAACGGTCACTCTCTTAGATATCTTGGACCACAATTGTGGTCAAAATTAAGCAAGGAAGAGAGAAATATTGGAACTTTGGCAACTTTTAGGACAACTATACGTGAGAAGGATGTAACATCATTTCTCGAAGGATGTGGGAGTAAATGTCGCCTATGCTTAGGTTAACTTGACGTACGCATATTAATACATATTCATTTTTAGTGTCCGAGCTCATATATTACATTGTGAATTCAGCACCCTGCTAAAAAGTGTTATAGAGTAAAATTGTAACTTAGTTTTAAAGTGTAGAAGAGTACTTAGTCTGAATAATGTTATTTTCCTGCTTTTAAGATTCATAGTTTTTAATTAGATTTTTTAGTCTTAAAGGTGTCCCCAATTAATGCCAATAGGCACTAAAACGATTAGACACTTAAATAAAGGTCATGTATGTGTGTATGTATATATGTATGTTCTTAATCTCGAGTTGAGCGTTGTTTTCGTTTTAAAAAATAGAAACCCTATTGCGTTAGTTTTACATGGAACATTTATTAAGTGCTAAAGTAAATAAACACTTACCCAGTTACTGACAAGCTCTTTCCTTTCATCGAACAACTGCAAAATGAAAAAAATCATTTGTCCGTAAATGTCCTTTATCTGCACATATACTTAAATAGCAATCAATAGCGAGGGAAATACGACGACTCCCTGAATATAGACCTTTTCGTTTAAGTCTTGTTTCAATGGCGTCCAAGAACTTTTCACGCTGGACGGAGAGTTTTCAGGTGTTCTTTTGACTCTGGAGGCTGTTGCAACATTTTCTTTTGCCTTGAAGCTCTTAGTTTTAGCATAAGCACTAGAAGAAAAGTCTACAGCCCTGACAGACATCTGTAAAATATTTTTTTAGAATAAAAATAGACTAAGATGGACAAAACATCACAGTACACAGATGTATCGAAAGCCGTTGTAAAGTCATGTTGATTATTGAGAAATCCGCTGACCATTGTCTTGACTTGAGTCACACGGAAACTCCTTAGTGTAAACTGCACTACACCTAGTGTCCACTCACTTTAAATATATCGAGACAAACATGGCGGATCCCAAAGAAAATAAACATCAGAAAACAAGTCATGTTCCCCGCCCTCCGGCAGTATTGTTTTATCATAAATCCATGAGTCAATTGGCAGAAAGTATCTGTGAACGGTGCAGCCGTGCACTGGATCAGTCATCAAGCACGAAACAAGTGAGACTTACTCTTTTTCAAATCTAAGCTTGAGAAGTGACCATCGATTTGATTGTGAATTTGTGATCAAACCATGGTGATAAATATATGCAGCGGTAAATTTGCATGAAAAATATCTTACAAGATTATTTATGTTGTTTAGAAAGAACTTTTATACTATCAACAAAGTGTGGAGTTGAGATCTGTATCATGGGAACAATTTCCGGATGGATGGCCAAACTTATTTATTGCAAATGCTAAACAAGATTGTGCAGGAAGAGATGGTATGTGAACGTTGTCAGCATGAGGGTATAAACTTAAAAGGTCTTGTCCTGTGTTTCAGCTTTTTAATGTCTGCCTTTGCTAATTTTTTTCTCCTTCAGTCATTTGAATGAGCACTGTACATGTTTCACTTTGTTTCGTTCATTAAAAAAAGAAAGAAAAAGGATATATATATATATATATATATAAATATATAACTGTATATAATATATATGGATAAACCAAAACACAGACTTTCTATTTATATATACATATATATATTTCTGCATTGCAGTCATCTTTCTGGCAAGCTTCCACTCACCGGAAGTTGTGTTTGAGCAGCTTTCTGTTATTTATAAGATTCCCAGGTGAGATACATCAGGTGAACATTAAAACCACCAGTTATTTCAAGCCCAGGTTATTTTTTGTACAAAAATTTCCACAGCTCAAGGGTCTGCTCACTATCCTTTTTTACAACCATTGCATGCTCTCAGGAAGAATGGGAAATGGTAAATACTCCAGATGAAACTGTGAAGAGTTTGTTAAAAATCTTATACCTTTTAAAGACATGAAGAGACTGCATCTATTAGCATTAGGATCTGATTTCTCCTCACAGCATCATTGCTAATTTAAGTACCAAGGTCATGAGAGTGGAGGATATGATTGTATACTTATTAAGAGAAGCTATAAACTGTTAAACAAATTAACCTTTCTAGTAACAAAAGAAATGTATAGGAAACAGCACTGAAAATGTGTAAAATGATGTTAGGCTGTAAAAGTTGAAGATTTTAAAACTCCATGATTATATCTTAGAAAATAAGAGAAATTTGGAAGCCTTATGCATTACTTTTGGGAGCAAAGAGGTTTCCTGAAGGATAGGTAAACAATAATTTCTCCCTTTTTTAATCATCTGTTTACATTCTCACAGGCTATTGGCTCGATCATTTACTGCTATTGTACCATACTTTCCAACTGGAACAATGGAAAGGGAGGAAACAGAGGGTCAAGTTGCTACTGCAAAGGTATTACCAGGATGAGTGATTAACTTTGAACTTATTGTCTTTGGTATGTAAGCAGTACCAAACTCAAAAAACACAAGCAAATGGTATACAGTCTGATCTGTTCAAAAGGAACCCGCTTCCTAATTTTTGGAGTGTTTAACTTGCATGTGCTTTACTGTTGTGTATTACTGGACAAGATGTACATTGGAAATGTAATACAACAGGTGGACTTGTTTCTCTCCCATAGACTCTGGCCATTTTGTTGTCCACTGTTCCATTGACTGCCAGAGGACCATCTCAGATAATGGTATTTGATATTCATGCCCTGCAGGAAAGATTCTATTTCACTGACAATGTAATTCCAAGGTAATACTCTTAGGAGAGGAATTTCCCATGTTATTGGAAGATCATATTTTAAATATGGGGTTGATTAATGCCATAATGTAATTTCAGATGTTCTTGATTTTAATTCATGCAGATTGGAGACAGCCATTCCTTTGCTTCTACGAGAGATAATGATGCTAAGCAAAGACAATGCCATTAGCATTGCTTTTCCTGATGATGGTGCATTCAAGAGGTTTCATACCATGTTTAAATCCTTCCCAACTATCACTTGCACAAAAATCCGTGACAAGGACCACAGAATTGTGAAAGTCAAAGATGGTAGCTTTGATAACATTGTGATTTCATTTTATGGCTCTTTGAATGATAAATTGCTTATCAACAATTTAAGTACAAGTAAATAGGTCAGAGTTGAACTGAATTGAGAACATCCATTGTTAGTCATTGATGACTCACTTGACCATGTAGGCCTTCAGTTAACTTTGTATCTGTTTATCTGGATTTCAAGGTGACCCAGCTGGACATCATGTGATCATCGTTGATGACCTTGTGATGACAGGAGGGACCTTAGTGGAGTGTGCTAAAGTAAGAGTGTAGATATGGTACCTGCCAGTTTATAATATACATGTGAATACTTGAAACAATGAAAACAAAAAAGAAGCTGCAAACTCTGAGGTATTTTCCTTTTATCTTAACATATTTCCTGTCTCTAACTGGTGCTCATTGATACCTTGACATAACTTCATCCTCACTTAAAACCTCATTACTGGTACGCAGGGCTAATAATATAGGTAAAGATAGGAATAGAATGGTATCAGGCTTAGAATATAGCCAATCATAACCTACACACTTACAAACCCTTTGTTTTGCCAGGCTTTGTTGTCAGCTGGAGCGGTGAAGATCAGTGCATATGTAACACATGCTGTGTTTCCTAAAGATTCGTGGAAGCTGTTCACAGACTGTGAAGTGCCCTTCAGCAAGTTCTACATAACAGATTCAATCCCACATGCCACCAGTATTGCTCAGCACTCTCCTTTTAAACTACTTTCCTTGTGTGACTCCATATCTGAGACTCTACTGGGCTTTGATCTGCTACAGAGCTGATTTCAAATGACTATCTTTAGTGTTGTTAAGAAGAAGCTTTGTTGCGTCAATCTTATGGAGCATTGTTTATACTATGGTGGGAAATAAAAAATAGATTTGTATTACATGGGAAGTAAAGTTACAACAGTTATTTTGTTAGTTATAGTAGTTAGGTATATTTTATTATTATCTGGTAGCAGGTTGCTCTTGTTACACATTCATATAATGGCCACTTCAGATGTCAAAATTAGTTGTATTCAAATGTTATTTTAGTAAAGAAGTTCACAAATCTAAACACTCATGTTTTAGTGTTTTGTACAATAGACAGTTGTTGATGTATTAGCAAGATTATGAGTACACCCGCATTGCATGCCTACATGTACGTAATCAACCATGACACTTTGCTTCCTTAGTTCTACCATGTGCTTGGTGTAAGATGGCGACGGTTGTTTATTAAATTATTTTTCAGTACTCACTCATCACCTCCTGATCTCCCGTTTTTTGAAGCAAATCAACAACAGTCACCATACAAAGATGGTATGCAAGGAGTCATGCTATAGCCAGATATCTAATTAGTTCCTGGTGTGCATAGAATTATAGCAAAAAAAAAAGAAATAAACTTAGAATTATATAAAAAATCAGTAATCACTTCCTTATTGTTGAAGTCTTCATTAGGGCCCTCACTACTAAAGACAAAAATGAAAAAAGACAATCTTATTGAATCATCATCTTTCTTTGATTTGCAAAGAACAAGACATGGTGCATAACAGAGATTTCTCTCAATCTTGTAATCCCAAAGAATTATACCAGCCAATCTGAACTGACCAAAACAATGATATTGTTGAGTTTTATAGGATTTCAAAATTTTGCACATAGGACCAAAGATGAACGCATAAGCTTCAGCCAAAAGGCAAAGGAATGGGGGAATGCTCAGAAGGCCAGGTTTTTCTTTTCTTCGTTTTTTTTCTTTCCTTTTTTTTCAGAGAGTGGGACTAACCCTGAATCCCGAAAAACCAATCGGTAACCCTCAACAGAGGAAATCAAAGAAACTTTTTGTTGCATCAGAAATCTAAATCTAGTGCTAATACAGAGGCTAACTAGGAGTCAGTACAAGAGCGAAGAAAAATTAAGTGCGTGTGGGTATTTTTTTTTCCTCGCTAGCACCTTGCAGAAGATTATTTCAAAACTTGTGCCGGTGGGTTGTGCACTAGTGTGCCTGTGCACTTCCCTATTAAAAGAGTAGTGGCCCCAGCTCTCTCTCACTTGCTTCGTAATAATGAGACTGGAAGCTAGATCATTTTGTTCATCATGGCGGCTGTCGCGATACGCACTTGCGAAAGTCCTGGCTGTCAACAACCAGCTAAATTACAGTGTCCTACATGTATTAAGCTTGGAATTCAAGGCAGTTTCTTCTGTGCTCAGGTAATGGTTAAGAATTGCCCATTTTAGGCGGGTTTGTGTGGCAGCCACATTATGTATAATGGAAAGGGCTTAAATACGACTTGTACTGATTCGTATCTATGCATTGTGAGTTGACTCGAAATTGTTTGAGAATAATCTTTAGTCTCTTTGGAGATGGTCGACGTTAATCGTCGTTAATCATCCGCCACTGCTTCCACTCCACAAGTCTTTTTTCACTTTTTCTGTCAATACAAAGTGCTTTTAGTAATGAAACTCTATGACAAGTAATTTTCTGCACTTGTTCTAATAATTAAGCTCAACTTAAAAAATATGTTCTGCAAAATCTTCACCATTGCTGCTCGTGGTATGGAATCGTTGATCTACTTTTCATAATACTTTGTGTCACTCTAGGGAAGAATTAATGTCATCGGATTCATTATTTTGAGGATATTTGGATTTAAAGGAAAATACCTCTTATTATCATCAGAACCTGATTGTGATTGTCTGCCTTACTAAAGGCAGGCGAATTCTTTAATATGAAACAATCACTCTTCTTATAGTTGTACTGGTCTCTGTGATCATTGAAGGAGATACTGGTTATAAAGTGATACCTTTCAGGGATGAGTATAAATCAAACACCTGTGAATATGATTGTTGTATTTACTTTTGGAACTTCATTTTGTTGCAGGATTGCTTCAAGCAGAACTGGAGTGAACACAGAAAAGTACACAAGTCAGCTAAAGCTGCAGGTACAGGTGTACCACATTATACTCAAACAAAGCCTGGGTTCCACATCAATTCATAAACAGGACCCATATTGACAACAGTTCAATAACTGATCAGAAGTGGTTATCGTGTTCAATTATCTTCATTTGTTATAGATATTGATCTTTTAAACATTTTTCATATATTGATATTTTTCTTAATACAACTCATGTTAAAAATCTAAAGGGTTTATCATTTGCACAATATTTCACATGTTTAATTTTATTGTCAGCAAGTCTGCCTGTCACCTTTCACATAACTTTCATTGACTTGATTGTTCTATGAAACTGTTTGGTAGATGACAATAATAAACCAGTGACCTATAATCCATGGCCTGGATATAGATTCACAGGAAAACTGAAGCCCTGGCCTCAGGTATAGTATTGTGTATGAGTTTAATCTTTAAACAAACTAGATATTTGAATTATATAAAGGAGGAAATACTTCAGACTCTAATTAGTCATTTTGTTTGGGCTCATGTAATTAAAAAATTACTTGTTTTGCTTTACTAACAAGACAAAGTTTTGTTATGTCACTTGTAATATTTCTTCCTCTGGAAGAAGCATTAGTGAAGACACCCAAGAAAAAGTTTAGCAGGAGCTGTTTACTGCCTCCCAAAAAAATGGAAAAAAGGAAAAAAATAGTCATAACAACTTGAAAATTAAATAGTAAATTGGAGCAACTGTTCAAAAAAGGTAGTGCCTCTCAGCAAGTTTTTGATAAACCTTTTCTTATGTCTGTTCAATGTTAAGTATATGTCATTTTGTCTTTGTGGTGTCTCAGTGTTCACTTCTTCCACTTTTTTGTTCTTACCTAATTTTAAAGCCATCTGTTTTAATTTATAACTGTACAAATACAAGGAAAAGGTGAACTATTTATAGTAAAAGCCTTTAGTAATCAATTACATTTGTGTAATTTATATTATGAATTAACATTTATTTTCAGTCTCCAAGGCGAGAGGTCCCTGATCACATCCAGAAACCTGACTATGCAGAGAATGGTTTGTAATCAAATTGATTTTTTATCAAAGATTTAAAATACTGAACTTCTACTAAATGAGGTGCAGTCACTGGATTTATAGTTTGTTTGATTTTGAATGAAGGCAAAAATAGTATTTATTTGACTCAATGCTCAAAACTGTACTTCTTAGAAGAGAAGTTTGAACAATGGGGAATCAGAAAGATCTCTTTGCTAAGTTACAACTTTCCAATTGTTTCCCTTGTGATTATCATACAGTATGAATAAAAAAATACTCTTACTGGCCAATTCAAGCTCTTCTGTGTGATATTTGAAGAGTTAAATAACATACAAACAAGAGATTCATGATTCATGTAAATAACTGCAGAGTGGGACCTGTAGTCAATGGTCACCCATAGAGAATGGCAGGGTGACTACTTAACACAGGTATCACATATTGGGGGTATTATAAAAAATGATAAACAATGCCACTTCATGCCATAATTAACCACTTCATGTGCAGAATCTCATTCGAAAATAGTACTTACTGGTACTTTGATTTAAGGTAGAGAAACATGGATAAAAAATTACTTGAAAGATTATTCTTAGTATTATTTGATTGGTTCTGCTTTCAGTTTCTGTTCAGTACAGGGGGGGGGACAATTGAAAACTGGTGGTTGAGACTAGGAGTAAAGGGTGACTGCAACTGCTTAATAGAGGTGACAGCTTGCTAAAGCTAAAAATTACAGTGATTAACAAGAAACAAATTCAGGACTTTAACAACTGACTATGTAATACAGGGTGACTGCTTAATACCTTGCTGTTAGTACAGGTTGGACTGTAGTTTGGTTGCCCCTAAAGTGACATCAGAGAACTACTTTTTGAGTTAACCAATCAAGCAAAGATGCATGACTAGCTATGTACTTGATGTTTCCACCAGGTGTTCCTCTGTCAGAGATAAAATCCAAGCAAAGCATGCAGATAAGAGTTCTGAATGAGGAGGAAATTGAGAAGATGCAGGTGGCATGCAGGGTAAGATTTATTCTTTACCTGTTGGTGTAGGTTTTGTACATGTAGTATGAGGTTGTTATATACTTTGTCTTTGGGAGGGTTGGTTGGTTCTTTTTTTGCTTTTTCTTTTTTTTTTTTTTTTTTTTTTTAACATGTAGAAACTTAGCATACTTAAGGGAAATTGAGAAATGACATGACTTTGTGTAATTACTCTCACGTGTAACAAGCTGTGGGGTAAATTATTTGAAAGTTATTATAAACTTGTGTTAAGAAATTCTACAACTGAAAGTATTGTATTTTACTTCTGCAGTTGGCAAGGGAAGTGTTGGATACAGCAGCAAGGCATATTAAAGTTGGTATCACAACAGATGAATTGGACAGGATAGTACACGAGGTACAGAATATAAATAAATACACAGTTTGTCTTGATTATAAGTTCTTTTGAAGCAAACCATTAGCATTGTGCCAGCATGTCTGAAAGTGCGTTCATTAATGTTTCTCACAAATTCTGCTGTATTAACTTAAATTTGTGAATAATTGAGTAAACGTTGCTCTTCTTATCCTTTAGGCCTGTCTTGAGAGGAATTGTTATCCTTCTCCTCTCAATTATCATGGATTTCCAAAGTCTTGTTGCACGTAAGTTGGTTTTGTCTACTTCTTCATAATAATATCTCACAACACACTAATATGTCTACTAGATATTTAAAAATTGCCCATACCCTATCTTGGTTGCTAGTGTTACCAGGTTGATTCAGAGATTCTAATAATATTACCAATAACCTCAAAGTTTATGTTTTTGCTTTCTTGCTCTCAAGGCCATGCAAGCTGTGTAGCATTGACACAAATATTTCATTAGTGCCAATTTGCTTAATTTAAGATAAGTTCAAATCCCCAGCTTTCAATTGAATACTCTTCTTGGAACAGGTCTGTAAATGAAGTGATCTGTCATGGTATTCCTGACACGCGCCCATTGGAGGATGGGGATCTCTTAAACAGTAAGTTGCCACTGAATTTTCTTTTTTAATGTCTGTACTTTACCAGTTATTAATGGTGAACAATAGTAAACAAGGCTAGATGGTACACTTTATGATAACTATTGGAGTGCTGTTATTCATGAATGGATAAACACTTAACATGTACCATGGACAGATACATTAGTACAGTTATGAAAACTGTTTTATGGAGCAAACTCAATGTCACAAATACTTTTTTGTGCTTGGAAGTTAAAGTTAAGACCCTTTTCTTTCCAAACTTTAAGTGTGATGAATGACACTTGGAAGTGCTTGCTTCATGCTAACTATGATTTTGAAATCTACTCAATTTTTGTTTTGTAGTCGACATCACCATTTATTACAATGGTTTCCACGGAGATCTGAATGAGACATTCTTTGTTGGTGAAGTGTCAGAGGACAGCAAACAGTTAGTGAAGGTTACACATGAGTGTTTAAGTCAGGCTATAGCATCAGGTAATGTGATAGATATCCTTAGTTTTAAATAAGGCTAATTCATTATATAAAAGTTCCAATATTGAGTGCGTTTTTGTCATGAAGTCCCATATGGTTATGATAACTGTTCAGGTCAAACTTGTAATGTGAGATTGGAACTTCACTCCATACTAACAACATTTTATAATGAACAACTCAAAAGATATTTCATTAAAAAAATAAACAACTAGACCCTGTGAGCAGGGTAACTGGGATACCTGGATGGTACTGGATCCTTGGAATCAAGTGTAGTGATACTACGGGTGTCGGACTAGTATACTGAAATAGTGCACTCAAGTCTGGCCAAGGGCATACACCTATTTCAAAACATAGGCATGCTATGTATGCAAGAGTTACTTTTTTGTAGGGTGGGTGGATTACTTGAAACATTGTGAGAGATGTCTACATTCTTACAAAAGGAGAGAAGAATATTAATGTGGGAAAGAACGAAAATGTCGAATTACCTCACACACAGGTATTTTGTGGTAGATTAGGTGTGTTTTGCGAATAAATGTAACCAAAAATAAACTGTATTGGTGCCACAGATACCTGTTAGTACAAAATGCAGACAGCAGACTGCAAACCGGATACAAAATATAGACTGCAGACTGGGTACAAAATGCAGACTAAGAATCTGAAGAGTTTTTACGTCTGGTATATAATAACATGTCATCTTACAGCTTACCGAGCGTCACGCAATCGCTTTCTGCGACCGCCTTCACGATTATTTGCACTATTGTGGAATATTCCTGGCCCATTTCTTGATGAAAATCGATTGCAATATTATTTCAAGCCTTCAATATAGTCTTCTTACTTTGCGCGCGAGTTGGTTGGTGTGATGTCTGTACAGATTTTACCAACGTCATAAAAGTAGATGACGTGAATAACAGTGATGGTAAAGCAAGCTTAAAACGGTAGAAATTGCCAGAAAATACAACGGATACAAAGGGTATGAGTAAGTTTTATTGATTTTACGAGAAAAATGTTCATATTTCGAAATATGTATCGTTGTAAATCAACCATAATTCGTTCCTTATACTATTCCTTATAACGTGCAGTTCCTCTCGTAACTTAACACCGAGTCACATAATGCGAGACGCGTTCATGAATTAATCGTTGGCTTTTTCTCGAGACGTGAGCTTGGGCCGCCTGTGACAAGACAATTGCGTAAACAATATTTAACATAATAACATTATACACAAAACACACAGGGTTTTGGATCACGTATTTATTAAAAAAGAATATCCATACAACTACAATGAAAACAAACATAAGATTCACCTTTCTGATCGTGAAATTAATACCATTCGTACTGTTATCGTAGCTACGTTCCTTACCATCAAGTGAATTCAACCACAGGCGGCCCAAGCTCACGTCTCGAGAAAAAGCCAACGATTAATTCATGAACGCGTCACGCGTTGTGTGACTCGGTGTTAAGTTACGGGAGGAACCGTTGAAAATTTGAACACGTTATAAGGAATAGTATGGGGAACGAAATATGGTCGATTTACAACGATAAATATTTCGAAATATGAATATTTTACATGTAAAATCAATAAAACTTACTCATGCCCTGTGTATCCGTCGTAGTTTCTGGCGATTTCTGCCGTTTTAAGCTTGCTTTACCATCACTGTTATCCATGTCAAAAGACGAAGTCAAGGCTGCACACTCTGATTTCGACCGTGGTCCACGCGGAGGTGGTTTGCGCCCCGAAAATCCTCCCGATCGGCATTTTTCTCAGCCAAACTTTACGATCTAAGATCACTGCACCCTGGGACATGTCTCAATACCAAAACTTCACGCGCACTTCACTTCGTCTTTTGACATGGATAACAGTGATGGTAAAGCAAGCTTAAAACGGCAGAAATCGCCAGAAACTACGACGGATACACAGGGCATGAGTAAGTTTTATTGATTTTACGTGTAAAATATTCATATTTCGAAATATTTATCGTTGTAAATCGACCATATTTCGTTCCCCATACTATTCCTTATAACGTGTTCAAATTTTCAACGGTTCCTCCCGTAACTCAACACCGAGTCACACAACGCGTGACGCGTTCATGAATTCATCGTTGGCTTTCTCGAGACGTGAGCCTGGGCCGCCTGTGATTCAACATGTCGTCTTTCTTCACAAGCAGTTTGCATCCATTATAGTTATGTTCTTCAGTCTCACGGTAGCAGTGTTGTTCAATAGATTGCATAGAGTGTATGCAGTTTGGTTTCAGATTTTGCTTTTTACAACAAGTGAACATTTTCAACTAATACATTGGCATACTTAGCATACTCGGCATTCAAGGCTTTCATGGCTTTCAAGCGTTCGCGACTCAATCCGTTCCAAAATTACCGCTCAATAACATCTTTCAGTGTGGATTAGCCGCAATTAATACGACTTGTATATGCGTCTGTAAGTATTTTGCGCGTTTGCGCCATAATGCTCCAGGAGATCGCAATCCAAAAACGTTGAAATACAAAATTGACTAAAGAGTTTTATAAGCAAAATCTCGTGATTCGTCATGTGACCCGGCCCTGTCTGTGCATGACAACGTCAATCATCATCAAGATAACACGCGTGATCAGCATGTGAACACCTCATTGGATCACAGTTAGTTGTCATGGTGTTGAGGGCCCAATGACCTCTGGGTAATTTTTCCATTTTGTGGCGGAGGGGAAAAAAAAAAAGACGACAAAAAAGCAAAGGCATTTTATGACTGGGCTACCACAGGTATCCCAGTAATCAGGGAAAAACAGTGGGCATTCCCCTCTTTGTCTCTCTATAAATCCTTTCAGAGATGTATTTGTAACGAGAGGAAATAGATAGCCACCTAACACTTAAATTGTTGTCAAGTGTATGGAAACCCACATCATTATGTCTTTTTTTCCACTTGCTTTCATTAGTTTTGCCAGTCATCCTTGTGACCAAAAGACTGGTCAGTAATGACGTCTGTTGCAATTGATGAAATTTGACTCTGTACATTGAGAAAGATATTGTGTGCTTGAAGCTCAGAAATGCAGACAAATGGAAGCACTTTAGCGCCAACAATGAAACAGATGGCAACAGTCATGTTAGCATTACAGTGTTGATTAAAATCCTTTTCTGTATCTTAGTGAAGCCTGGTGTGAAATACAGAGAGATTGGTAACATCATTCAGAAGCATGCCCAAGCTCATGGCTATGCTGTTGTGAAGAGTTTTTGTGGCCATGGGATTCACGAGTAAGTATATGTAGATTGTGCTGATGCATTGCTATGATAACAACTTTGTGAGAACCCAACCATGATATATTAGTAATGTACTAATGTGTCAAATCGTCTACATCCCAGGCTGTTTCATACTGCACCAAGTGTCCCTCATTATGCAAGTAAGTATGCAACGCAGTTGTCTTTGTCTTTGCGGTGGTTCTTTTCTTGCTTCCTAAAATTCAAAGCAGTTCGCAAACACATTAATCTTCATGGTTACGCTTCTGCCCACAGGTGTTTTCATATGACTTACCGTAATTTCTTGCCGTTTACCCGCACGGCCGATTACCCGCACCGGCCGGTTATTGCACACGGCGAAAAAAATTACCCGCACGGTGGATAACCCGCACGTTATGTTTTTGGTGGCGAAAACGTGACTTTAAGGTGATACTATTTCAGTCTTTTAAAAGTTGTCTGATCTAACTTTCGAAAACTTGAAAGCTTCTTTGTCGAGTTTAAAGGTCAAAGAAATTCAGGCGCGTGCACAATTCTGTGTCAATATTAGCATGTACTTTATTGATAAAATTATACAGTAAAAACACTAACGGCCCATGCCCAAATATCAGCGTTTCATACTTGACAGAATGCGAATTTGTGGCCACATTTTGTGCGAGCGATCGTACAGCGCCATGTTGATTTGAAAGAAAGCTGGGTGAGTGTTCAAACTTGAATTATAAAGTACTGTCGGCGATTTCTGAAATAAATAGATATCTCCGGTTCTATCGAGCCTAACAAGTCCCTTAAAACGGGAAAATTCTCTTTAGTTCAAGCTAGTGTTAAATGGAAATTTGTTATTGATGCGCCGGATATCTTTGGATTATTTTTGTCACCATCAAGATTTTGTTTTCACGCGTGCCGATAACAATTTGTTGGTCACGCAACTAATTATGCGTGAAATAAACTCGAGTCGGCATCATGTTTTCGTACCGCTCTGTGGCACTCTTAATACATTTCAACTACCAGTAGATTTTAAAATTGTCACATAACCTGCACCTCCCTATTACCCGCAGTGGCCCGCGTTTAATGCAAAATCAACAGATACCCGCGGGTAAACGGCCGGAAATTACAGTATTTTTCCTCTAAAACCAAATCATGTGCAGAGCGTTCTATTCACGATGGCATTATTTTATAGAAAACAAAGCTTTTGGTGTAATGAAGCCAGGACACACATTTACCATTGAACCGATGATCTCACAAGGTACTTGTTATATCATTGTTAGGTTATTTAAACACTTTTGGGTAATTATTGTTATAAGTCACGAGTCTTGATATCTAAAGTATTGGTTTACAGTTACACCCCTTAGTTTTCTATGGTTGATGTTTGTGTTGGTTTGTCTTTTTTTTTTTTCCTTTGAAAATTTGTTTATTTGTCTGTTCCTTTGCAATTCCCTTGGTTTGTTTGTGTATTTTAGCAATAAACTTATGCAACTAGGGAGAAAAATTTTCAAACAAACACTGTAGTGTGAATTATTTATATTAACTCCACTCAAAGGTGTGATTAATGTAGCCCACCTAGTGTGATACAGTGGCTTCCAATTAATTCAATTCTATGGTTTGATTGGTTAATTTTGACAAAATTATAGGAACTTGGCGAGATGAGATCTGGCCTGACAACTGGACTGCCGTTACACAGGTGTGAAACAGTTTTTGTGCAATGTATTCTAACCCTAAGCAATTGAGTGTGAATGAGATGGTTTTGCCTTCTGAAGAACCTCAGGCCTTGGAAAATGACAGAAACATGTGCCTTGATAATGGCTCTCTTTTATATATGAGCCCAGTGATTGTAACTATTTGAATCCTCTTGACAGACTTTAAAAAGTAGCTTGTCACTGCACATTTATGTCATCTTAACACAGGTGACGACTTCAACATGTTTTCCTTGCAGGATGGCAAGAGGTCAGCTCAGTTTGAGCAGACCCTACTAGTGACTGAAACTGGATGTGACATTCTGACAATCAGACCTGATGACAACGGAAGACCTCACTTCCTGTCTCAGATGTAAATCCCCAAATAAAACATACTGAACAAGCAGCAAAAGTACAGCAAGAGTGAATAAACATACTGGAAAATACTCTACATTGTAAGCTGAATTGCACATGTATTTTGATTGATTCTAGCTCATGACCTCGTAAGGAACTAACGCATTGATGATGTCACCTTTGACAACTTTTGCTACTTCAGTAAGGTTTTGATTGGTGGTAATCAACATCAAATTTGATCAGTTGGGTCATTTTTTCTTTCAAACCAACATTAGCTTGCATCAACATATTTGTTTGTTAAGGTACAGGCAATCCTTAACGGTGTGAAAATGAACTTGTAAGAGACTGCTCTGTCTTATGCTTTTTTTTGTATATAAGAAAACCTTTTGATAACCAGAGTATTTCCTTGTAGGTCCTGTAGGCACAATATGTCTCAGGGTGGCATCGAGTTTTATAGGGATGGGGTGTGTTCATGAACTGTGCATGTCATTTTGCTTAAACTTTTGATGAAAGAATGAACTGCGACTTAATGTACTTCTCGTTGCAAGCAATGTCGCAATTTATTATTTCCCATCTGTTCAATTGTGAATCAATGTAACATTGTTGTTAAAAATGTTGCTTCCAACCTCAGTGGTCAAAGAGAAAATGTCTGCCTCGAAAAAGGGTAGAATGTCAGTTTAAAAATTTGAAACTTCTTGCAACATGCAGATCTTCCACTCCTAAATTGATTATCTGCTGACTTAAATCAAAAGATAACTGTATGGCTCCTAAGTATCGCTGCAAGTTGATAGCGTGGACACAAAGACGTGTAACAATGTAATAAAACATAGGAGCTCAACATTTGTGTTATTTCAAGTTATTTTACTTAAAATCCTGCGATGATACTCTAAGAGTTCAAACATATCATAAAAAGCTGACTGTCTTCCTCGATCGTCCGGAAAATTATATTTTTGAACAATCAAAATGTGGAAGAAAAATGAACATGTTTTCGCGTCAAATAGAGGCTATCGTTCATAAATACATGATCAATACTTATCCTTGTACCCTCAACTGAGTCATAAATGGTGGAAATTTATTAATTAGAAGTTCTTGTGCTTTATCAGATCACTTAATATGAAGCAAGTTGTGCAAGTTTGTTCCTCTTATTGTTTTGATGTCATCTATTAGCTTTTTTACTTAGCATAGGAACAGTGCTCAGCACCACAGAGCTTAGGGTTATTAGTCCAGACTTCCAAACAAGGTGATCTTTATATTTCCTTCTTTTTGGGTTGTTCGCTCTACAGAATTTAGGTTCATTCCATGTTAGTCAGTCTGCTGAAGTCCTACTGGTGCAGTTTGTCCTAAACGCAGAATTCGCTGGCCTGTAAACAAGATAAATTCTTTGTATTATTTATTGTTGTTTATTTAGCCCCAAACGTGCTGGTAGGATGTTTAATGAGAGTAATACAGTGTTATTGTATTTCTGGCTTGAATCAGCGTCAATGCCAGATGTGATGACTACTTACTGTCGGTATAATTACATTAACTAATTACCATTCGTCTAATTTTTCACAATTGTCTCTCTAAACTGGTCACTACGTTGAATTATTGCCCAGGGTACTGATGTTCAACTCGGTTTAATGCATAAAGGGGGTAAGTTTCTAAAGAAACTGTGGCGCTGCGTCGGTGGGAGAGTAAAGCAGGTAATTTAGTGTTAATAACTGAGTTGTTAAATCGCTCTGATGAAGGGCTAACGCTGGAAACGTCAGCTTTTTTACCCTTTACGGCGGCCAATTTACTTTTTTCAACTCAGTTGTTAACACTAAACTACCCACTCGGTTTAATGCACGTTGGTACATGGAAGAGGTTAACTTACTCAAATTATTTATCATCAACCTTTATAGTCCCTTTAAGGTTAGCTTTCATGCTTTGTAAAAGGTTTTAAAGTGTAAAGCCTTGATAAAACAATCGAACCAACCTTCTGTTCCCTGTTTGAACTTTGATGGTTAGTACGTGTTTAGCTGTTCTTTTCCAGTAGATCTCAGCAGCAAGCGTCACCAAGGCAACTGCTAGTCCAGCACTCAACACAATATAAACTCCCAGCATGCTCTTCAGACTGATTCGCTTACGAGACAAAGCTGTAAATACGAATTTTAACAATCTTCATGTAAGAGAAATACAAAAGATCACGAAAACAAACAAACAAACATCAAGTAAGACCTTACGAAATATTCCACATGCTCGGAAAATAAGTGTAGACCAGTTTTTTATTTGTCATCATACGAAAGTAAATAGGAGGATGTAAATCCCTGTAATGGTCTTGCGTAGTGGTAAGATGCGAAAAAGAACAATATATGGTATGTAATGCACATCTCGTTCAGTGCCCTTGTCTAAACACTGAAATGGTTAAAAACCTTATTGACTCACTTGTGTCTTGTTCCTGAGAGCAAGCATTTTTATTATCCCACCATTTTCGTCTCAGTGAGTCCAGAAACTGATTCTCATGGAGGTGCAGAATAGTCAGCGTAAATAAATCAGTGTGAGGGTCATACGCTCTAAAAGTCAAGGCGAAACCTTTGGCCGAGGTCAGACCAGGAACTGAAAATCACAAATAGGCACAATTTAAGAAAACTGTGAGACTGATTTTGACGCTGATTAACGGATCTGAAAAATTGTCATGTCGTATACGTGGCCACTTAACCCTTTCTCTCGCTGTGAAAGTCCAATGATAATTCTAACTAATTCAATCCTACAAGAGAGTCTCACAGCTTTTGGTATTTTGACCACGCCCTTTCAAGTTATTTCACTTACCTACTCTGAGGCCGCATGGCCGCTGCATGGCGAGGTAATCAAGGACTGGTCCGTCGTGAATAAATGCAAAATTATCCTTCTCTCGAACCCACTGGACTCCTTCTTGTCCGTTTTTAACTAATGTTTTTTCCGCTTGGATTCTATTCCAAATCTTCCTATGCGGCTCGTACTGAGTTTTCTTAAATGCTGAATGAACACTGGTGGAAGAGACAACTGCCACTTTGTAAGAGGTTTTTAAAATATCGTTCAGACTGTTGATCGGCTGAACTGCATTTTTCACAGTAAGGAAGGCAGCAAGGTTGGCTGTGTATGTTGAGACCCAGATAACTATACAGAACCAGTAGCAACCGGCCAGAATTCGACCTGAAGTGAAATAGGGACAAACTCGCAGTTAATAAAACAATGGGGTTCATGTTCTCAGGCATAAATATGATTTGGGTTCGAATCATAGTCATTTTAGCCGGAGCCTCTAGGCTGTATTACTCTATAACTGTATAACTATTTTATCACTATGCAAGGCTTTGATAAAATAATTAATGGAAAAAAATAACAGCAACATGGTCTGAACAATCACGCGAGCATGCGATCGGGTGGAATTGCATATTAGTCTTCACAAATCTCCATTTTAGCCCGCAAAATGCGCCACAGAGCGTGACAAAGAGATGAAAATACCAGTAAACGCTGTTATCAAATATATATGAAACTGCCTTTTTATTGATACACAACAATCAAATTCCTTTTCTATATTCTTGGCTTAGCCGAATTCTTAATATTTTTATCAGCCCGAAATAATGGATGGTGATCTGTGAACAAGTTACGACCAATGAGCAATACCTTTGGTACTGAACGCGCTAACTGGTTAAAAGAACTTGAACTATGAGCGATTTTGAGAAGCCATTTCTATATTATTTTATTGTCTAGCTTTGAGAAAGTAGCAGTCTGAACAATAAAGCGAGCGTTCAAGAGAGCGAGCCAAAATACATTTAGGTAATTTAGTGTTAACAACTAAGTTGAAAACGTAAATTAGCCATCGTAAAGGGTAAAAAAGCTGACGTTTCGAGCGTTAGCCCTTCGTCAGAGCGATTGGAGGAATCTATTGTAGGTTGTGGGTTTACATGCAGAAAGTGGAGCTACGCCATTGGTGTGAATATGGTGACGAGAAAACAGAAATAAATTAGTTGAATGAAAAGCGCTCGTTGATTCTGTGGGGATTAAGGGTGCCGATTTGGAAGATAAATTTTTGTTCTAGTGTTTTGCGGCTTTTACGAACTGCTTAGATGTAAGGAAAGGCCGCAGACTGCCATATGCTGTTTAGAATGATTAGGGAGATTAAAGTGTCCAGCGACTGGTTTGGATGCGTCCTTGTCATTTCTTTCCACGTCGCGAAGGTGTTCTCAGAATCGGTCACCTAGTCGTCTTCCTGTTTCGCCGATGTATAACTTATTGCAATAAGTGCAAGTTATGCAGTAAATAACATTGGCGGAGGTACACGTAAAGTGATCAGTGATCTTAATAGATCTCTTGGGTCCCGATATTTTCTCTACGTTATGAATGAAAGAACAAGTTTTGCATCGTGAGCGAGCGCATTTGAAAGTTCCAGATTAGTCATTGGTTTTAAATAAACTCCTGACAAAATACATTTTAGCCTACCATAGTCTTCATTCTAGATCACAAAATGCGCGAAAATGCACGATAAAGTGATGAGAATACCGCGTTGTGTTGGCTTCTCCTTCGCACGCAAAACCAATGGAAGAACAAAATAGCATAGCACAGATAGCACATGTGTTATATCTGTAGTTCACCTTATGAGTGGTAATCATTGCAGTGGGGATATCTTTACTAACATTACCTGATAAATTCCTCGGTGTGTTATCTCCTCCTTGCTGCAGCATGCAGGCCAAAGAAAACCACACACTGTTGAAGAAATTAAACTCCTCTGATGTTCCTCTACCATTTTCATCTTTGTATCCATAAGGACTGAAGTAATTCAATACGAAGACAGCAATAGAGATGAGTGCCACTACTCCCAGAGTAGCGATCCAGACGCCATTTTCAAATGGATGCATGAACTGCAGTAAATCAGTTGTCTCTGTTGATGTCTTCTTCACCAGTAGATCGTCAGTATAATACATGAACGGAACAGTGAAATCCACCACCTTTTCTCTGGTTTCAGTGATGGCAATCGATCCAGCCGCCATGTTCGCATTCTTAAAGAAGGCAAAAGTGAACGTTTTTGTCGTCAGTTTAACTTTTAAGATCTAAGTCAGGGATTTTAGCTGTACACTGTCATGCTGTTACCTCTGATTTTTATGGTATTTAGTTTTTTTTCGTACTTGTTGCCTCGCGTGTCACTTGCGGTACTTTGCGCTGCATTCCGCCTACCTTAAAAAAGGTCTGATCTGGTGGCTGTTTATCTTTTACGGGCATCATTGTCAGTTAGAGTTTATTTCTTCATAGGCGATTTCTTTTTAACCTTTTACTAATTACGGTGGTTGTCATCTGAGTTACGATGATTTTATCTACTGTAAAAGGTTAGTATTACATCTGGTGCTTTTTGGAGAAGAGAGTCAACTTTTCAGCTAATTACCCCGTCTAAAATCTGTCTTATCATGCCATTCCAAGTTCCATTTTCCGTCACTGTTCCATAAAATCCATCTGGCGAAGGATACATTTCATATGTAAACCCGAGTGATCGAGACAGCTCCTTGAGAAGATCAATAGAGTATCCTTGAAGTGAAATCGTCCCATCTTCATTCTTCTTTGGCATTATAAATGGTGGATCCTATTTTGTTTTTCACGAAGGAAAAAGAGTGTTAAACGAATGCCATTAGAGAGGGATAGAATATACCGAGAGATCGAATTCATTATATTTGATTTCAGTTTGCTATGACGGAACTAGCACTAAATTTTTGAAAGTTGCCTCAAGGCTTAAAAATAAGGGCCTATTACAGTTGGTTACTTAGATACAAACTTTCTTGAATATAATCACTGTAACTGCCACTGGCGATTAATACTAACTAATTCTAGCGCAATTTTTAACGCGGAACGAAACGACACGGTACGGTTAAAACTGCAAATAAAACAGCGAACGAAAACTATTACAATAAAAACTAGACTAAATACACAAGGAAAGCTACAACGAAAACAACGAAGAAAACTACATGATACCAAACTTACATTTATTGCGATGTTATAGATCCTGCCTAGTGGCGAACAAACTGCACGAAGCGAAAAGAACAAATATACGAAGCTACACTCAACGAAACTACACTGCAAAAACTGCACCAAACTATGATGAACAATACGGTTGAATACATGCTACGTTATGCAAAGTTACGCAATGACACAAAGAAAGCGCACACAAAATTTTACTACAATTAGCACTCTTGCACAAGAACAATAAACAAACGAAAAAGAATGTAAGGCGTTGCGATCTACAATCACTAAGCTACTTCCCGTAGTAAATGATAATACCTTTCAACGCACTTGCAATCTTCTTAATACAAATACCTCAACATATACAATCCTAAAATGTCTGCCTTTTACTTCTCCATTACTTGACGATCCGGGTAAAGTGTTTGGTAATGGATCTTCAAAAAGAACTGCTCGTTCCGTTGAATTCCAACAACCAATCTACAGTGAAAAAGAAAAAAAAACATACGAAGAGCTGACCTGGAAAGTGTTAATTATAGTAACTTATGTGAAACTTTGAAATAAGGAGGGGACTGGAGATGGAAGTTGACAGACCGAAGGTTTATCATTTTGATGTATTTCCTTTAAGTATTTAAACTAAGTCACTGCATCTGTGGGTAACCTAATAAGATAAAACCCATACTTTTCAATCTGATCAACTTCATCTTACCTTTTCGAAAGAATCATTTCGAAGATTTAAGATTTCCAGGGAGACGTCTGTTCGCCTTCCCCTGTTATCAAACTGCACAAACCCAGTCATACCGTTGAATGTAACCTTAGAAAAGACAAACAAACTTCACATACAAAGATCAGGTAACTCCTATTTAGAAATCACATAAACTCCACTAGTAATCTGTGATATCGAAAGACCTGTATGGAGTCGGTGCAAATGGCAGAGTAATCTGAGAATGCTGATACAACCCTTTTACGATCTCTCCTAGAATTCCCATCAGGTGATGTACTAGAGGAACAACGCACATTAGGATACCCCCCACACGTGGTAAACAGTTGGAACAAAAATTTGCACTTAAACGCGCTAAACAGTGGCTTACTCGGAAGATCCACTAATAAAGAATACACTTCTCAAAACTTGAACTCGGAAATTTCAAACTGAAGACAATTTCGACAATTTTGAAAATTGATAGACTAAAAGAGACAAGCGATTGTGTTTCATGAACAGAAATTAATAATTCAGACCAGACTTATCACCTTTCTCATGCAGTCAAACATCTCTGTATCAGGTAAGAGTCTATCATTTCCATTCAGTGACAAACAAGGCTTCTCATTTAAAGCTTCGGTAATAACGTTTATTGCATCGTGTGCCACAGCAACATAATCCTGAGGAAAGATTTGAAGGAATTTAGTTACAGAAACCCCATGATGACGGAACAGAAGTGAAAAGAGTGAATAATTGTTTTATCGTTGTAAGACTTGTAAGCTGGCTAGCTAAAAAACTCGTATGGCGCTGGCCTATTGTCATATTGCATAGGTATATGAGATACTCAGTTTAGCTCGCCTATTATTTCTTTAGTTGACATTGATTTAATTGTCTTGTTATTTTTAATGAACATCATATGATGCTTGACTGTGATCTTGCAACAAATATTATCAACAAGAAAAGAGCGATCGGTAGACAGCTTCTTGAATGTTTTACTGTTCACCAAACTTAACTAGTTACTCAATATGTTAGTCAAAGTCCCTTGACAAGGAAAAGGTTACGTTTTACTGTTGTCTAGATCTGTAAAGCTAAAAATGATGTATAAATAAAACTTGAAGACCATGGTTGGTCACCCAAATAACTGCATGTGAACTAGACCACCATTTAATTTGTAAGAAAATCTGATAATCATTACTGCGAAGAGAAGATTTATTTATCTAACAATGTCATGACTCCTAAGTTTGCAACAATTTTACCTTGTTGATATATTTGAGTTTTTCTTGTTCTGCTGATCCAAAGAGTTTATTAACAAAGCTGCTTTCGTATGGAAGCTTAAATGCCAAGACTACATTGTCAGGAAGACTTCTCTGGTGTTGAGATACCTGTGCAAACGAACGAGCCAAATTCATGATCAGAGTCTTCAATAACATTTCACTTATAATTAATGAAGAGCTTCATGCTTTCAAGTGCTGCATACTCAAGTTATTTGGTACCTGTTCTTGGAGGATCCACTGATACGGAAAATGCCTTTGACGAGGAACCTGACACAAATGAAATAAAAAACCGTAACTGCGTATGACTCCTTTGAACTTTTGCTGATTGCAAGATTTTTTTCCCCAAAAGTACTTAATGTACTTCTGCAAGAGGTAATCTTTTGTTTTCTGGTAATGGTGGAGAGTAGAGATTCTGATAACGTATCGTCTGCTCATATTTTATGGATGAGACTGCTGAAGGCCCAGAGAGTTCGCAAGAATACTCTAAAAAAAGAAGATCGAACCGTGACAGTAGATCCTGCATAATAACCAAACTCTCGTAATGTGAGATCGTCGTCAAGTGTGAAAATGAGAAATGTTTCCTCGTAGAAAAAAAAAAGAAAAGAAAACGATTGTTATAACTACCGGTAATGTTGTGTCGGTGATCGTCGCATCCACTGGCACATAATTAGTCAAATTAATGACTTTTGATATTTGAATACTTCCCTCACCTGTTGCAATAACATATCTGTGTTTTCCTTCCCTGTGTAGAGAAGAATACTTTCCGGTTGGTAGCTTTGTATCTGTTCCATTATTTGCCATATTTTTCTTTCTCTGTCTTCAGCGTATTTTGTCTCAGGCACCTGAATTAAATCCATGGTGAGTGTTGACTTCTTATAGTTGAGGTAGAAATATCCAGCATCAAAGAAGCGACTCTCTGTGTCAACAGACAAAACGAAACGCATCAAAGCTAAGTTTTACAACATAAGCTTAACAGCTCCCTGAAAAAATTCTTGGAAAGTAGGAATAAACAGCCTGAAGATTCCTGGCAAGAAAACTTCAGGATAGGAGGGTTGCATAACAATAAGACGTAATGGGTAAGATAACATGAGCGATGCACTTCATGGGATGAATTGTGAGGTTTCGGGTCCAACACTACAGGTATATAGATTTTTTACTTTGGTTGATAAGTTCTCTTTCATAACCTTATGCTAGTTTATTTCAAATTACCATCAAAGATCAATAGAATTTTCCGCCATTTCAGTATGCTCAATGCATCAAATGTTGCATGCGCGAAATATCTGTATCCCGCTGACATATCCACTACATTCTCACACTGGTCAAACTGTCCGTTGCTTCCATGGAGGCGAATGACAGAAACACCCATTACCAAAGAGATTGCGCATGCGGAGACTTTTAAATGGCTTCCCTCAACGAGTATGGTGACGTTTTGTTGGCGAAGCACCGAAACAGCTGCAAAGAATGATAATTAACCAGTTAAACTAAATTGTAGCCATGCCAGCTATCTGTCATCTATTTAAATTAATTTTGTTAACGGTAATTAAATATTTGAGTTGTCTTGTACCCATGCTAGTTCTTTATCCTTTTATTTAATTCTTGCTAATGATGACGAAACCATCAGGCTTAGCTATTATCCTTCTTTGTACCTGTTATGAAAAACTGTCCTATACTAGTTTGGGTAGAACTAATATAGAGTTCTGAATTTATAATAAGGTTGTAGGACCATTCTGTTGTTTTAGAGGAATCATGATTGATGCCTCATGTTAGAGTGCATGGTATTTACATGGAGGTTATTACCCAGAACTCGTAGAAAGAATGATATACCCTTTGTCTAGATTTCTTACCTTGGTCAAATAGACCTACAGAAGTTGATGTATTTAAAGTCTTTAATGTTATTGAGATGTTGTTTTTTGTGTTACTTTGGGACACAACAAACTTCAATGCCTCAGATTCTTCTGCATTTCCATTATTTATAAATCCTATTTGGCCACAAGGAGAAAAGAAAAATACGGTGAAAACCTATTTTACAAAATTCAAGTTACAAAACCGGCAAAGAACATGCAGGATTTGCACGGCTACGGAACTTCAGGAAACTAGCTTCCTCTGCCTGTACTTCAATTAAGGGTTGAGCGATTTAATTTTAAATTTACTGCAATGTCTTAAGGGTTTCTTTTCTGATTACGTGGTCTTTCACTCGGCTGACCTTTTTCAAACTTTCTCCTATTCTCTGTCTTAGTTTAATTTAGGGTTGAAAAAAGGATTACTTTGACACGCTCGATAAACAAAATGGTGAAGAGTGAATTAATTCAATTTCCCCCGAAACGATATAGATCACTTAGAGAATATCATGTTTAAAATGATTCCTCCATTTGATGTGGTTACGGCGTAGAAAGATGGTGTTAATGGTTGCGATGATATTGAGCGAACTAGGACAGTTCCTTAATCAACACAATCTACATCTACTACACTTTTACACAATTTACTTTATACGGTTTTTTTCAGGGTTTGGTTTTGTTTACATCTTGAATGTTCTTATAGACTGAGTAGCTGTATAACTTACCACATGTGAAATTTCTTTTATCTGCGGATGCTAACAAAACAAGGCTAGAAACAAAAATTGTTAAAGCCATTTTGCAGTTTTGTGCGTCCATGTTAGCCTAACAGGCTTTCAACAGCACGAAGTTTTCGATATTAACATATTAGCTGTCATATGGCCGACTTTGCTGTATCTGGACCTATAAATGATTAATGACTTACGACATAAATAGTTTTGATGAATTAGTTTATCTATTATATACGGAGAACCCTACCTACAGGTGTCTCGTGAGCTATATTGTTAACAAAAATGTATTTTCATATGACGAATAATATGGAAACGCTTTATCTTAATTGATATTCTAGGTAAATATGTTCTACTAGTAAATTTGATGGATGTAAAATTGCGGGCTTGTGATACTGTGTGTTGAGCAAATCATAACTATTTTATTCTACTGAAGAATCCGTCTCTTAAAAAAAAATATTCAGCAAAAGAAGTTGTGATAGATATCAGGGTGAACCAATGTCCTGCTTTGAATAAAAGCAGCGGGTGGGTAAATTTTGTACTACTTTACCTTCTTCGATTCTTTTTTTTTAATAATTCCTGTCTGTATATATTATTAAAAAAAAATTCTGTTAAACTCGATTGAAGCGCTAATAACACTCGGTGAAGGACTCCTATGATACTGACGATCATAACGTCAAACTCTGTCACAAATGTGATGAAATACGGATGTGTTCAGAGCACAGCTTGTGTCGTTCAGTCGAGTCAGCTGTGGACTGAAGCAGCTGAACATAATCGAACGTTACAATCCGTCAGTGATTTCTATGATTAGGACTTTTAGAAACACTGTAGTAGTCAAGTCGCTATTTTTCCGTTTGCAAACAAGAATGTATCCTTTTGTGGAACTAAAGGGTTAAGTTTCCAAAGAAACTGTGGTGCTGCGTCGGTGGGAGAGTGTAACAGGTAACTTAGCGTCAACAAGTGAGTGGAAAACGTAAATTGGCCACCGTAAAGAGTAGAAAAGCTGACGTTTCGAGCGTTAGCCCTTCGCTCTGACGAAGGGCTAACGCTCAAAACGTCAGCTTTTTTACTCTTCACGGTGGCCAATTTACGTTTCCAACTCACTTGTTAACATTAGATTACCTGCTTTTGTGGAACTGTTTACCATATCAGCACCTCAGTGTCGACGGTCTTTAGTTTTATGACAACAAAACAATGCGAGTGCCAACCACATCAACATCTTATTTTTCGTTAGAATTCGTCTTTTTTTTTTTTAATTAACTTTATGTTAGCATGTAGAGTGGTATGTTGCTCGTACCAATCAGATCGCCGCATTTGGGTATGTATCTCGCACCAGTCAGATTGCCGCATTAGGGTATGCAGTGGCGGATCCAGACCTTGAGCTAAAGGGGGGCCCGGTTTTTTGTCGCTTGCCCTGCCGGGTTTTCTTCCTTCTGCGGTTTTTTTTTCTCCAAAATGAGGGGGGGCTCGGGCCCCTCTTGTAATCCCCTCCTGCAACGCGCTCTCTTTCCATCAGGGGATACATGGTGTTGTGTGACGAGACCAAACAACGGCTGCGAGGGGAACAACAGCAAGTGTGGCACCGGTGGATTTTATCTTTGCTTAGAAGTATTTAGACAATAGAGACAATAGACCACAAAATACCTGTGCGAGTTCAGATAAATTAGTTTTTTTTCTTTCTCTTTAGCTGAAGTAATGCGATATTTTCGTCCGTTTGAAAATTGTGCTCTTTTTCTTTTTCAAAAATGAAAACATTACGAACAAAAAGTGCCCCATCTCAACGCGCAGAGCCAAAAAAAAAACTTTTGCATGCTACGCATGCTTATGTTTAAATTTGTTAGCTGCTGCTTTGTGTAAGGCTTAGAATAAAGAGTAACTAAGGTCACGAAACAGTTGGTAACGGAGAACGTTGTAAAATCTGATTAAATATTAACATCCTCGTGAATCCAAATGAAACCAAACTATCTACAACGTCTTCAACCTTAGCAACTTGTCAAACCCCCATTTCCGTTTTTTCTATCGGCTCTATTTCTACTAAGACTTCACGTTGACAAACAGTTTGCGTCATTATGCACCCATTTTTGTCCTTTTTACTCTTTTTACACCCTGAGTCTTCAAACTGTTCCTTTGGAAAGAAAAGGAGAAGGGATGACGGGCTGAAGGAGTTTTCTTTTTCTGCTTGCTGTTCCTCCTTTCTCTTTCTGAAGTCCATCCGCGGTGACTTTATCAGAAAACGAGGCTTGGATACCAAGGCATCTAATATGGCGGAGAACTTGGGTCACTTTCGTTGTCCCCTTCCAATCTTTATTTTCTTTTTATTTCACGGCTCGGTTTTAAGCGTAGTGAATGAGGATCTTTGGAAAATTCACTGCAACTCCCTGAAGGATCACTCTGTTTGTGAGACAAATATGTTTTTGCTGTTGGTACAAATGGTTTCTGTTTGTCGAAAGACAGAACTACTAGAATTTGAAAACTGGAGTTTATGGAAAGAAGTATTCTATTGAAAGAATTTGACGTGGACGAGGAAACGAGAAACTATATAAGACAAGTACATGGAGTAATTTTTTCAAAAGGTCATCCAGTTCCTCTGAAATATAAACCTTATTTGGTGGCTTTTTCTCAAGAAATATTGACGGACATTCTTGATTTGAATGACACTGTCTTAGAATCACCAGCATTCATAGACTTTGCTGCGGGAAATGAAATGATACCAAACTTGATTATGCTATCACATAGATACGGTGGACATCAGGTAAAGTTCCATCGTTCTCACTGTTTTTATTTGGGATCATATTCTTGTAAATTAATTAAACAAGCTGTTAATGAAAGGACTCGAGCACAATCTAATAAACTTGAAATTTATTATTTTACTGGTGCTTCTATGGGCTGAATTGATTCTTTTTTAAGTTTGGCGATTGGGCAGGTCAGCTAGGAGATGGTTGTGCTGTAATTTTGGGGGAATACACGAATAGGTAATGGAAAACATACAAGTTACTAATTGCATGTCTTGTACCATTCTTTTTTCCTGTGATGCAAGCATTTCACGAGATACCTTTACTTTATTGAAATTTGTTACATGTACAGAATAGTATCGGCAACCGGAGAAGAAAACAGGACGATTAACCAAATCCCCCTAATAAATATTAACCAAAGCACAGCTGTGAAGGAAACTCCTATTAGTGTTTCTAGAACTGTAATAATAGTATTGGAAATCCAGGAGTTAAGCTTATATTTGGATGTGAAAAGACTTGATACTTTTTTAAATATTTAAACAGGATAGGGGAGAGGTGGGAACTTCAGTTGAAAGGCTCAGGGAGGACTCCCCATTCAAGGTACTGTTTAAGCAATTTTTAGCCTTCTCCACATCTTTAAGGTTTAGTTTTGATTTGAAACTAAATGATTTACATTTATTTGTAAAATTTTTTAGTCAGTTGCCATCTTCTATTATCCTCTGCTGCATTACATAGAGTGGGCAATATTTGCAACTCTGAATACATGTGTCAAACCTCTTGTTTTTTTCTATAAGCCATTTACTTCGATAAAATAGACTGAACATGCTTTTATAGTGGAATTCTTTTTCTAAATAAATTGTACTGATCAGACACAGTGATGGACGTGAAGTGTTGAGGTCATCTGTGCATAAGTTCCTGGCCAGTGAAGCCATGTTTCATTTTGGTGTACCAACCAACAGAGCAGCCGGTCTTATTGTGAATAATGACCTTGTTTGGAGGGATCAGTTCTATTATGGGCATCCAAAGCAAGAAAAAGGTGCATATTTTAGTGGAAAGTAGATTTTAAGATTGCTTAAAATTGAACAACACTAATGAGAAGCAGAGGTTTCTTTCCAGTTCAGTTATCAAACATACTTAACATGTTCTTTTATTTCAGTTGCAATTGTTTTACGCTTAGCGAAATCTTGGTTTAGAATTGGGTCTCTTGAAATTTTGGAACACAACAGCGAAGAAGCTCTTCTTAGGTGTGAAGCATTTTGTTCATTTTGTGTATGTCCTAAAGCATATCTCATTAATGTATGTTTTAAGTTTGTGATAGTTTGCTAAGTTCAAAATGTTGCCCTGGTTTGTCTGTCTTCTTTTTGTGGCTCAGGCACCTCTGATAATGTTGTGTACATGGTATTTTGAAACAGATAATTGATTGTGCTTGAATACTCTACCATTATATCCATGTCAACTACTACCACTAAGCCCTCTGCCCATTAGCTGTGCCCACATGCATTGTATCAATTTTATTTTTCACTGTCTAATTAAACTAATATTTATTTATATGAACACTACTCAAAGGTGTGATCAATGAAGCCCACCTAGTGTGATACAGTGGCTTCCAATTAAATCAATTCTATGGTTTGAGTGCTTAATTCTGACAAAATTCCAGGAACTTGGCAAGATGAGATCTGGCCTGACAACTGGACTGCCATGACACAGGTGTGTTAAGAAACAGTTTTTTGTGCAATGTATTCTAACCCTAAGCAATTGAGTGTGAATGAGATGGTTTTGCCTTCTGAAGAACCTCAGGCCTTGGACAATGACAGAAACATGTGCCTTGATAATGGCTCTCTTTTATATATGAGCCCAGTGATTGTAACTATTTGAATCCTCTTGACAGACTTAAAAAAGAAGCTTGTCACTGCACATTTATGTCATCTTAACACAGGTGACGACTTCAACATGTTTTCCTTGCAGGATGGCAAGAGGTCAGCTCAGTTTGAGCAGACCCTACTAGTGACTGAAACTGGATATGACATTCTGACAATCAGACCTGATGACAACGGAAGACCTCACTTCCTGTCTCAGATGTAAATCCCCAAATAAAACATACTGAACAAGCAGCAAAAGCACAGCAAGAGTGAATAAACATACTGGAAAATACTCTACATTGTAAGCTGAATTGCACATGTATTTCGATTGATTCTTAGTCATGACCTTTTAAGGAACTAACGCATTGATGATGTCATCTTTGACAACTTTTGTTTAAAAAATTGGAAACTTCTTGCAACATACAGACCTTCAACTCCTTAGCTTGAATATCTGCTGACCTAAATCAAAAGATAACTGTATGGCTCCTATGTATCACTGCGAGTTGATAGTGTGGACCCAAAGACGTGTAACAGACTAATTAAAACGTAGGAGCTCAACATTAGTGTTATTTCAAGTTATTTTACTTAAAATCCTGTGATGATACTCCAAGAGTTCAAACATATTATAATAAGCTAACTGTCTTCCTCAATCATCCAGAAAATTATATTTCGAACAATCTGCGGGAGAAAAATGAACATATTTTCGCGTCAAATAGAGACTATCGTTTATAAATACATGATCAATACTAATCCTTGTACCCTCAACTGAGTCATAAATGGTGGAAATTTATTAAGAGCTTTATCAGATCACTTAATATGAAGCAAGTTGTGCAAGTTTGTTCCTCTTATAGTTTCGATGTCATCTATTAGCTTTTTTACTTAGCATAGGAACAATGCTCAGCACCACAGAGCTTAGGTTTATTAGTCCAGACTTCCTAACAAAGTGATCTTTATACTTCCTTCTTTTTGGGTTGTTCGCTTTACAGAATTTAGGTTCATTCCATGTTAGTCAGTCTGCTGAAATCCTACTGGTGCAGTTAGACCTTAACGCAGAATTCGTTGGCCTGTAAACAAGATAAATTCTTTGTATTATTTATTGTTGTTTTTTTAGCCACAAACTTGCTGGTAGGATGTTTAATGAGAGTAATACAGTGTTATTGTATTTCTGGCTTGAATCAGCGTCAATGCCAGATGTGATGACTACTTACTGTCGGTATAATTACGTTATCTAATTACTATTCATCTACTTTTTCACAATTGTCTCTCTAAACTGGTCACTACGTTGAATTATTGCCCAGGGTACTGATGTTCAACTCGGTTTAATGCATAAAGGGGGTAAGTTTCTAAAGAAACTGTGGTGCTGCGTCGGTGGGAGAGTATAGCAGGTAATTTAGTGTTAATAACTGAGTATTTGTATCGCTCTGATGAAGAGCTAACGCTGGAAACGTCAGCTTTTTTACCCTTTACGGTGGCCAATTTACGTTTTCAACTCAGTTGTTAACACTAAACTACCCATTCAGTTTAATGCACGTTGGTACATGGAAGAAGTTAACTTACTCAAATTCTTTATCATCAACCTTTAAAGTCCTTTTAAGGTTAACTTTCGTGTTTTGTAAAAGGTTTTGAAGTGTAAGGCCTTGATAAAACAATCGAACCAACCTTCTGTTCCCTGTTTGAACTTTGTTTGCCAGTACGTGTTTAGCTGTTCTTTTCCAGTAGATCTCAGCAGCAAGCGTCACCAAGGCAACTGCTAGTCCAGCACTCAACACAATATAAACTCCCAGCATGCTCTTTAGACTGATTCGCTTACGAGACAAAGCTGTAAATACGAATTTTAACAATCTTCATGTAAGAGAAATACAAAAGATCACGAAAACAAACAAACAAAAACAAACGTCAAGCAAGACCTTCATTCAACATCCTCCGAAAATAAGTGTAGACCAGTTTTTTATTTGTCATCATACGAAAGTAAATAGGAGGATTTAAATCCCTGTAATGGTCTTGTGATGAGATGTGTGCATATCTCGTTCAGTGCCCGTGTTTAAGCACTGAAATGGTTAAAAACCTTACTGACTCACTTGTATCTTGTTCCTGAGAGCAAGCATTGGTATCATCCCACCATTTGCGTTTCAGTGAGTCCAGAAACTGATTCTCATGGAGGTGCAGAATAGTCAGCGTAAATATATTAGTGTGAGGGTCATGCGCTCTAAAAGTCAGGGCAAAACCTTTGGCCGAGGTCAGACCTGGAACTGAAAATCACAAATAGGCACAATTTTAGAGAACTGTCAGAGACTGATTTAGACGCTTATTGACGGATCTGAAAAATGGTCATGTCTTATACCTGGCCACTTAACCCTTTCTCTCGCTGTGAAAGTCCAGTGATGATTCTAACCAATTCAATCCTACAAGAGAGCCTCACAGCTTTTGGTATTTTGACCACGCCCTTTCAAGTTATTTCACGTACCTACTCTGAGGCCGCATGGCCGCTGCATGGCGAAGTAATCAAGGACTGGTCCGTCATAAACAAATGCAAAATTATCCTTCTCTCGAACCCACTGGACTCCTTCTGGTGCGTTTTTAACCAATGTTTTTTCCGCTTGGATTCTATTCCAAATCTTCCTATGCGGCTCATACTGAGTTTTCTTAAATGCTGAATGAACGCTGGTGGAAGAGACAACGGCCACTTTGTAGGAAGTTTTTAAAATATCGTTCAGACTGTTGATCGGCTGAGCTGCATTTTTCACAGTGAGGAATGCAGCAAGGTTGGCTGTGTAAGTTGAGACCCAGATAAGAATACAGAACCAGTAGCAACCGGTCAGAATTCGACCTGATGTGAAATAGGGACAAACTCGCATTTAATAAAACAATGGGGTTCATGTTCGCGGGCTTAAATATGATTTGGGTTCGAATCATAGTCATTTTAGCCGGAGCCTCTAGGCTGTATTACTCTATAACTGTATAACTATTTTATCACTTTGGAAGGCGTTGATAAAATAACTAATGGAAAAAAATAACAAATCTCTTCACAAATCTCCATTTTAGCCCGCAAAATGCGCCACAGAGCATGACAAAGAAATGAAAATACCAGTAAATCCTGTTATCAAATATACATGAAACTGACTTTTCATTGATACACAACAATGAAATTCCTTTTCTTTATCCTTGGCTTAGCCGAATTCTTAATATCTCTATTAGCCCGAAATAATATATTTAGTGATCTGTGAGCAAGATACGACCAATGAGTAATACCTTTGGTACTGAACGCGCTAACGGGTTAAAAGAACTTGAACTATGAGTGATTTTGAGAAGTCATCACTATATTATTATATTGTCTAGCTTTGAGAAAGTAACAGTCTGAACAATCAAGCGAGCTAAAATACATTTTAACCTACCATAGTCTTCATTCTAGACCACAAAATACGCAAAAATGTACGATAAAATGATGAGAATACGCGTTGTGTTGGCTTCTCCTTCGCACGCAAAACCAATGGAAGAACAAAATAGCATAGCACAGATAGCACATGTGTTATATCTGTAGTTCACCTTATGAGTAGTAATCATTGCCGTGTGGATATCTGTGCTAACATTACCTGATAAATTCCTCGGTGTGTTATCTCCTCCTTGCTGCAGCATGCAGGCCAAAGAAAACCACACACTGTTGAAGAAATTAAACTCCTCTGATGTTCCTCTACCATTTTCATCTTTGTATCCATAAGGACTGAAGTAATTCACTGCGAAGACAGCAATAGAGATAAGTGCCACTACTCCCAGAGTAGCGATCCAGACGCCATTTTCAAATGGATCCATGAACTGCAATAAATCGGTTGTCTCTGTTGATGTCTTCTTCACCAGTAGATCGTCAGTGTAATACATGAACGGAACAGTGAAATCCACCACCTTTTCTCTGGTTTCAGTGATGGCAATCGATCCAGCCGCCATGTTCGCATTCTTAAAGAAGGCAAAAGTGAACGTTTTTGTCGTCAGTTTAACTTTTGAGATCTAAGTCAGGGTTTTTAGGGGTACACTGTCATACTGTTACCTCTGATTTGTTTTGGTATTCAGTTTTTTTTCGCACTTGATGCTTTGCGCGTCACTCACACTTTGCGCTGCCTTCCGCCTACCTTAAAAAAGGGTCTGATCTGGTGGCTGTTTATCTTTTACGGGCATCAATGTCAGTTAGAGTTTATTTCTTCATAGGCCTTTCCTTAGGGTTAGGTGGTTGTCATCTGAGTTACGATGATTTTAACTACTGTAAAAAGTTAATATTACATCTAGTGCTTTTGGAGAAGAGAGTCAACTTTTCAGCTAATTACCCCGTCTAAAATCTGTCTTATCATGCCATTCCAAGTTCCATTTTCCGTCACTGTTCCATAAAATCCATCTGGCGAAGGATACATTTCATATGTAAACCCGAGTGATCGAGACAGCTCCTTGAGAAGATCAATAGAGTATCCTTGAAGTGAAATCGTCCCATCTTCATTCTTCTTTGGCATTATAAATGGTGGATCCTATTTTGTTTTTCACGAAGGAAAAAAGAGTGTTAAACGAACGCCATTAGAGAGAGATAGAATGTACCGAGAGACTGAAATCATTATATTTGATTTCAGTTTGCTATGACATAACTGGCACTAAATTGTTTAAAAATTGCCGCAAGGCTTAAAAAATAGAGGCCCATTACAGTTGGTTACTTAGATACAAACTTTCTTGAATATAATCACCAAGCTACTTCCAGTGGTAAATGATAATACCTTTCAACGCACTTGCAATCTTCTTAATACAAATACCTCAACATATACAATCCTAAAATGTCTGCCGTTTACTTCTCCATTACTTGACGATCCTGGTAGAGTGTTTGGTAGTGGATCTTCAAAAAGAACTGCTCGTTCCGTTGAATTCCAACAACCAATCTACAGTGAAAAAGAAAAAAAAACATACGAAGAGCTGACCTGGAAAGTGTTAATTATAGTAACTTATGTGAAACTTTGAAATAAGGAGGGGACTGGAGATGGAAGTTGACAGACCGAAGGTTTATCATTTTGATGTATTTCCTTTAAGTATTTAAACTAAGTCACTGCATCTGTGGGTAACCTAATAAGATAAAACCCATACTTTTCAATCTGATCAACTTCATCTTACCTTTTCGAAAGAATCATTTCGAAGATTTAAGATTTCCAGGGAGACGTCTGTTCGCCTTCCCCTGTTATCAAACTGCACAGACCCAGTCATACCGTTGAATGTAACCTTAGAAAAGACAAACAAACTTCACAAACAAAGATCAGGTAACTCCTCTTTAGAAATCACATAAACTCTACTGGTAATCCGTGATATAGAAAGACCTGTATGGAGTCGGTGCAAATGGCAGAGTAATCTGAGAATGCTGATACAACCCTTTTACGATCTCTCCTAGAATGTCCATCACGTGATGTACTAGGGGAACAACGCACATCAAGATACCCCCCCACACACACACACACACGCACGTGGTAAACAGTTGGAACAAAGATTTGCACTTAAACGCGCTAGACAATGGCTTCCTCGGAAGATCCACCGATAAAAAATACACTTCTCAAAACTTGAACTCGGAAATTTCAAACTGAAGACAATTTCGACAATTTTGGAAATTGATAGACTAAAAGAGACAAGCAATTGTGCTTCATGAACAGAAATTAATAATTCAGACCAGACTTATCACCTTTCTCATGCAGTTAAACATCTCTGTATCAGGTAACAGTCTATCTTTTCCATTCAGTGACAGACATGGCTTCTCATTTAAAGCTTCGGTAATAACCTTTATTGCATCGTGTGCCACAGCAACAAAATCCTGAGGAAAGATTAGGAATTTAGTTATAGAAACCCCATGATGACAGAACAGAAGTGAAAAGAGTGAATAACTGTTTTATCGTTGTAAGACTTGTAAGCTGGCTAGCTAAAAAACTCGTATGGCGCTGGCCTATTGTCATATTGCATAGGTATATGAGATACTCAGTTTAGCTCGCCTATTATTTCTTTAGTTGACATTGATTTAATTGTCTTGTTATTTTTAATGGACATCAAAAGATGCTTGACTGTGATCTTGCAACAAATATCAACAAGAAAAGAGCGATCGGTAGACAGCTTCTTGAATGTTTTACTGTTCACCAAACTTAACTAGTTATTCAATATGTTAGTCAAAGTCCCTTGACAAGGAAAAGGTTACGTTTTACTGTTGTCTAGATCTGTAAAGCTAAAAATGATGTATAAATAAAACTTGAAGACCATGGTTGGTCACCCAAATAACTGCATGTGAACTAGACCACCATTTAATTTGTAAGAAAATCTGATAATCATTACTGCGAAGAGAAGATTTATTTATCTAACAATGTCATGACTCCTAAGTTTGCAACAATCTTACCTTGTTGATATATTTGAGTTTTTCTTGTTCTGCTGATCCAAAGAGTTTATTAACAAAGCTGCTTTCGTATGGAAGCTTAAATGCCAAGACTACATTGTTAGGAAGACTTCTCTGGTGTTGGGATACCTGTGCAAACGAACGAGTCAAATTCATGATCAGAGTCTTCAATAACATTTCACTTATAATTAATGAAGAGCTTCATGCTTTCAAGTGCTGCATACTCAAGTTATTTGGTACCTGTTCTTGGAGGATCCACTGATACGGAAAATGCCTTTGACGAGGAACCTGACACAAATGAAATAAAAAACCGTAACTGCGTATGACTCCTTTGAACTTTTGCTGATTGAAAGATTTTTTTCCCCAAAAGTACTTAAATACACTTCTGCAAGAGGTAATCTTTTGTTTTCTGGTAATAATAGAGAGTAGAAATTCTGATAACATATCGTCAGCTCATATTTTATGGATGAGACTGCTGAAGGCCCAGAGAGTTCGCAAGAATACTCTAAAAAAGAAGATCAAACCGTGACAGTAGATCCTGCATAATAACCAAACTCTCGTAATGTGAGATCGTCCTCAAGTGTGAAAATGAGAAATGTTTCCTCGTAGAAAAAAAAAAACAAAAGAAAACAATTGTTATAACTACCGGTAATGTTGTGTCGGTGATCGTCGCATCCGCTGGCACTTAATCAGTCAAATTAATAAGTTTTGATATTTGAATACTTCCCTCACCTGTTGCAATAACATATCTGTGTTTTCCTTCCCTGTGTAGAGAAGAATACTTTCCGGTTGGTAGCTTTGTATCTGTTCTGTTATTTGCCATATTTTTCTTTCTCTGTCTTCAGCGTATTTTGTCTCGGGCACCTGAATTAAATCCATGGTGAGAGTTGACTTCTTATAGTTGAAGTAGAAATATCCAGCCTCAAAGAAGCGACTCTCTGTGTCAACAGACATAACGAAACGCATCAAGGCTAAGTTTTATAACATAAGCTTAACTGTTCACTGAAAAAATTCTTGGAAAGTAGGAATAAACATCCTGAAGATTCCTGGCAAGAAAACTCTAGGATAGGAGGGTTGCATAACAATAAGAAGTAATGGGTAAGATAACATGAGCGATGCACTTCATGGGATGAATTGTGGGGTTTTGGGTCCAACACTACAGGTATATAGATTTTTCACTTTGGTTGATAGGTTCTCTGTCATAACTGTATGCTAGTTTATTTCAAATTACCATCAAAGATCAGTAGAACTTTCCGCCATTTCAGTATGCTCAACGCATCAAATGTTGCATGCGCGAAATATCTGTATCCCGCTGACATATCCACCACATTCTCACACTGGTCAAACTGTCCGTTGCTTCCATGGAGGCGAATGACAGAAACACCCATTACCAAAGAGATTGCGCATGCGGAGACTTTTGAATGGCTTCTCTCGGCGAGTATGGTGACGTTTTGTTGGCGAAGCACCGAAACAGCTGCAAAGAATGATAATTAACCAGTTAAACTAAATTGTAGCCATGCCAGCTATCTGTCATCCATTTAAATTAATTTTGTTAACGGTAATCAAATATTTGAGTTGTCTTGTACCCATGCCAGTTCTTTATCTTTTATTTAATTCTTGCTAATGATGACGAAACCATCAGGCTTAGCTATTATCCTTCTTTGTACCTGTTATGAAAAACTGTCCTATACCAGTTTGGGTAGAACTAATATAGAGTTTTGAATTTATAATAAGGTTGTAGGACCATTCTGTTGTTTTAGAGGAATCATGATTGATGCCTCATGTTAGAGTGCATGGTATTTACATGGAGGTTATTATCCAGAACTCGTAGAAAGAATGAGATACCCTTTGTCTAGATTTCTTACCTTGGTCAAATAGACCTACAGAAGTTGATGTATTTAAAGTCTTTAATGTTATTGAGATGTTGTTTTTTGTGTTACTTTGGGACACAACAAACTTCAATGCCTCAGATTCTTCTGCATTTCCATTATTTATAAATCCTATTTGGCCACAAGGAGAAAAGAAAAATACGGTGAAAACCTATTTTACAAAATTCAAGTTACAAAACCGGCAAAGAACATGCAGGATTTGCACGGCTACAGAACTTCAGGAAACCAGCTTTCTCTGCCTGTGCTTCCACTAAGGGTTGAACGATTTACTTTTAAATTTACTGCAATGTCTTAAGGGTTTCTTTTCTGATTAAGTGGTCTTTCACTCGGCTGACCTTTTTCCAAACTTTCTCCTATTCTCTGTATTAGTTTAATTTAGGGTTGAAAAAAGAATTTACTTTGACACGCTTGATAAACAAAATGTTGAAGAATGAATTAATTTAATTTCCCCCGAAACGGTATAGATCACTCAGAGAATATCATGTTTAAAATGATTCCTCCATTTGATGTGGTTACGGCGTAGAAAGATGGTGTTAATGGTTGCGATGATATTGAGCGAACTAGGAAAGTTCCTTAATCAATACAATTTACATCTACTACACTTTTACACAACTTACTTTATACGGTTTTTTTTCAGGGTTTGGTTTTGTTTACATCTTGAATGTTCTTATAGACTGAGTAGCTGTATAACTTACCACATGTGAAATTTCTTTTATCTGCGGATGCTAACAAAACAAGGCTAGAAACAAAAATTGTTAAAGCCATTTTGCGGTTTCGTGCGTCCATGTTAGCCTAACAAGCTTTCAACAGCACGAAGTTTTCGATATTAACATATTAGCTGTCATATGGCCGACTTTGCTGTATCTGGACCTATAAATGATTAATGACTTACGACATAAATAGTTTTGATGAAATTAGTTAGTCTATTATATGGAGAACTCTACCTTCAGATGTCTCGTTAGGTATATTGTTCACTGAAGTGTATTTTCATATGACGAGAAATATGGAAACGCTTTATCTTAATTGATATTCTAGGTAAATATGTTGTACTAGTAAATTCGATGGATGTAAAATTGCGGGCTTGTGATACTGTGTGTTGAGCAAATCATAACTATTTTATTCTACTCAAGAATCCGTCTCTTGAAAAAAAATATTCAGCAAAAGAAGTTGTGATAGATAACAGGGTGAACCAATGTCCTGCTTTGAATAAAAGCAGTGGGTGGGTAAATTTTGTTTTACTTTACCTTCATCGATTCTTTTTTTTAATAATTCCTGTCTGTATATTATTTTAAAAAAATCCTGTTAACTCGATTGAAGCACTAATAACACTCGGTGAAGGACTCCTATGATACTGACGATCAAACTCTGTCATAAATGTGATGAAATACGACTGTGTTCAGAGCACAGCTTGTGTCGTTCAGTCGAGTCAGCTGTGGACTGAAGCAGCTGAACATAATCGAACGTTACAATCCGTCAGTGATTTCTATGATTAGGACTTTTAGAAACATTGTAGTAGCAGTCAAGTCGCTATTTTTCCGTTTACAAATAAGAATGTATCCTTTCGTGGAACAAAAGGGTTAAGTTTCTAAAGAAACTGTGGTGCTGCGTCGGTGGGAGAGTGTAACAGGTAACTTAGCGTCAACAAGTGAGTTGAAAACGTAAATTGGCCACCGTAAAGAGCAGAAAAGCTGACGTTTCGCGCGTTAGCCCTTCGCTCTGACGAAGGGCTAACGCTCAAAACGTCAACTTTTTTACTCTTTACAGTGGCCAATTTACGTTTCCAACTCACTTGTTAACATTAGATTACCTGCTTTTGTGGAACTGTTTACCATATCAGCACCTCAGTGTCGATGGTCTTTTGTTTTATGACAGCAAAACAATGCGAATGCCAACCACATCAACATCTTATTTTTCGTTAGAATTCGTTTTTTTTTTTTTTTTTTTTTTTTTTTTTTTTAAAGTAACTTTGTGTTAGCATGTAGAGTGGTATGTTGCTCGTACCAATCAGATCGCCGCATTTGGGTATGTATCTCGCACCGGTCAGATTGCCGCATTAGGGTATGCAGTGGCGGATCCAGACCTTGAGCTAAAGGGGAGCCCGGTTTTTTGTCGCTTGCCCTGCCGGGTTTTCTTCCTTCTGCGGTATTTTTTTCCCCAAAAGGAGTGGGAACCCGGACCCCTCCTGTAATCCCCTCTTGCAACGCGCTCTCCTTCCATCATGGGATACATGGTGTTGTGTGATGAGACCAAACAACGGCTGCGAGAGGAACAACAGCAAGTGTGGCACCGATGGATTTTATCTTTGCTTAGATGTATTTAGACAATAGAGACAATAGACCACAAAATACCTGTGTGAGTTCAGATAAATTAGTTTTTTTCCCTTTCTCTTTAGGTGAAGTAAGGCGATATTTTCCTCCGTTTGAAAGTTATGTTCTTTTTCTGTTGCACAAATGAAAACATTACGAAAAAAAGTGCCTCATCTCAACCCGCCCAGCCAAAAAATAACTTTTGCATGCTACGCATGCCTATGTTTAAATTTGTCAGCTGCCGCTTTGTGTAAGGCTTTCCGTTTTTTCTACCGGCTCTATTTCTACTAAGACTTCACGTTGACAAACAGTTTGCGTCATTATACACCCATTTCTGTCCTTTTTACTCTTTTTACACCCTGAGTCTTCAAACTGTTCCTTTGGAAAGAAAAGGAGAAGGGATGACGGGCTGAAGGAGTTTTCTTTTTCTGCTTGCTGTTCCTCCTTTCTCTTTCTGAAGTCCATCCACGGTGACTTTCTCAGAAAACGAGGCTTGGATACCAAGGCATCTAATATGGCGGAGAACTTGGGTCACTTTCGTTGTCCCCTTCCAATCTTTATTTTCTTTTTATTTCACGGCTCGGTTTTAAGCGTAGTGAATGAGGATCTTTGGAAAATTCACTGCATCTCCCTGAAGGATCACTCTGTTTGTGAGAAAAAAATGTTTTTGCTGTTGGTACAAATGGTTTCTGTTTGTCGAAAGACAGAACTTCTAGAATTTAAAAACTGGAGTTTTATGGAAAGAAGTATTCTATTGAAAGAGTTTGACGTGGACGAGGAAACGAGAAACTATATAAGACAAGTACATGGAGTAATTTTTACAAAAGTTCATCCAGTTCCTCTGAAATATAAACCTTATTTGGTGGCTATTTCTCAAGAAGTATTGACGGACATTCTTGATTTGAATGATTCTGCCTTTGAATCACCAGCATTCATAGACTTTGCTGCGGGAAATGAAATGATACCAAACTCAATTATGCTATCACATAGATACGGTGGACATCAGGTAAAGTTCCATCGTTCTCACTGTTTTTATTTGGGATCATATTCTTGTAAATTAATTAAACAAGCTGTTAATGAAAGGATTCAGGCACAATCTAATAAACTTGAAATTTATTATTTTACTGGTGCATCTGTGGGCTGAATTGACTTTTTTTTTAAGTTTGGCGATTGGGCAGGTCAGCTAGGAGATGGTCGTGCTGTAATTTTGGGAGAATACACGAATAGGTAATGGCAAACATACAAGTAACTTATTGCATGTGTCTTATACCATTCTTTTTTACTGTGATGCAAGTATTTCACGAGATACCAAAGCACATCTGTGAAGGAAACTCCTATTAGTGTTTCTAGAACTGTAATAACAGTATTGGTAATCCAGGAGTTAAGCTTTTATATTTGAATGTGAAAAGACTTGATACTTTTTTAAATATTTAAACAGGATAGGAGAGAGGTGGGAACTTCAGTTAAAAGGCTCAGGGAGGACTCCCTATTCAAGGTACTGTTTAAGCAATTTTTAGCCTTCTCCACATCTGTAAGGTTTAGTTTTGATTTGAAACTAAATGATTTACATTTATTTGTAAAATCTTTTAGTCAGTTGCCAATCTTCTATTATCCTCTGCTGCATTACATAGAGTGGGTAATATTTGCAACTCTGAATACATATATCAAACCTCTTGTTTTTTTCCATAAGCCATGTACTTCGATAAAATATGCTGAAAATGCGTTTTAAAGTGGAATTATTTTCTAAATAAATTGTACTTATCAGACACGGTGATGGACGCGCAGTGTTGAGGTCATCTGTGCGTGAGTTCCTGGCCAGTGAAGCCATGTTTCATTTGGGTGTACCAACCAGCAGAGCAGCTAGTCTTATTGTGAGTAATGACCTTGTTTGGAGGGATCAGTTCTATGATGGACATCCAAAGCAAGAAAAAGGTGCATATTTAAGTGGAAAGTAGATTTTCAGATTGCTTAAAATTGAACAACACTAATGAGAAGCAGAAGTTTCTTTCCAGTTCAGTTATCTAACATACTTAACATGTTCTTTTATTTCAGTTGCAATTGTTTTACGCTTAGCGAAATCTTGGTTTAGAATTGGGTCTCTTGAAATTTTGGAACACAACAGCGAAGAAGCTCTTCTTAGGTGTGAAGCATTTTGTTCATTTTGTGTATGTCCTAAAGCATATCTCATTAATGTATGTTTTAAGTTTGTGATAGTTTGCTAAGTTCAAAATGTTGCCCTGGTTTGTCTGTCTTCTTTTTGTGGCTCAGGCACCTCTGATAATGTTGTGTACATGGTATTTTGAAACAGATAATTGGTTGTGCTTGAATACTCTACCATTTACATCCATGTTAAGTACTACCACTAAGCCCTCTGCCCGTTAGTTGTGCCCACATGCATTGTATCAATTTTAATTTTCACTGTTAAGTTAAAGTAATAAGGTAATTTTTTTGTCTCACAGAAAAGTTGTGGATTTTGTCATTGAAAATTATTTCAAGGATTTAGTTAACAAGACCAAGAAGTACTTGGTAAGATATTTTGCTTTTGTTTGAAGCAGCTATTAGGATGTTTTGAAAATTCATTTTAACAGTACAGTGTGATCAGATTTTGTGAACTTTTAATGTAATGAGAACTTCCAGTATTTCCCCACTGCTGGCATTTTCTTCATGGTTTGTACTATTAATACAAACAATCAAACTGCTTATTTTTTTATGACATTGCACCATGACCTGACTTTGAATACTAACATGAGGTCAGTGAACTTCATTTTGATCTCAGGCCTTCTTTTCAAGAGTAGTTTCCATGACAGCAGACCTGATTTCCAAATGGCAATCTGTTGGCTTTGCTCACGGTAAAATATGAACAAAGCATTTTGATGTTCAAGGTCTTTTCATGAGAGTTTTTTTAATTCCACTTTGATTATTGTTATTTCATTATTTTTGGGAGGTGTCTGCAACACGGACAATTTTAGTCTGCTGTCAATAACCATAGACTATGGTCCTTTTGGATTTATGGATGACTTCAACCCAGGTAAAGAGAAGAACTTTGATGAAATTTGACACATCTGGGATTTGATTCCAAATTTGTTCAAGGTGACTGGAACTATTTGAGTACAAATTTTACTGACATTTGGATGATCTCTGGCCGTAGACTTTGTCCCTAACACATCAGATGATGAAGGAAGATACAGTTACAAGAATCAGCCGAATGTTGGGTTTTTTAACTTAGCAAAATTGCTCCAAGCACTTAAACCATTGATTGAAGATTACAGTGAGTAAGTCTAGCTAAAATTGTTGAACATCATCATGATTAACCTTGAATGGTGACTTTTTAACTTTAAAGGTATTTGTTTAATTGGCCAGTTGTATGCCCACAAGTACTTGTTCAGTTTAAATTCACAAGGCTTGTAATTACCATTGATTCTTACTTGGTTTGATGCAGTATCGTTATTTTGCTTTTTTGTTATAGAGGAGAGAAAGTTCTTTGGAGTTATGTGGATAGATTTAACCAAAGGTGATGTGCAAGCACCTGCTCACTCTTAGTACCCCAAGCTGTAACACTTTTTTATCGCAATGGCAATTAGGAAAAAAAAAATTTCAGAAGGTTTATTTGCCGCAAAAGTCGTCAATTTGACGACTTGAAATTAAGTGATGTGGGGTAAAGTTAAAGTGAGTTGAACATTTGTATAACTGAGTTGAACCCTAACCCTAAAGAATTAAAAGGCGGACGTTTCGAGCGTTAGCCCTTCGTCAATCGCTCTGACGTTTTAAAAAGAAGATGCTTCTTTCTCTTCGGTTAAATGAGATGTCGCATGCAGCTCTATGAAAAATTTCCAGCTCAGTTCCTTAATTTCATAGACAAGCAGTGTGACAAGCAATATTCTCCATGGGGAAAAAAACTCTTTTCTAGCGATTATTTCAACTTTTTTAAGACTCCGGGACGTCAAATGTCAAAATGACCACAGCGAACTCGCACGTTATTGCTAGCCATTATTTTGGAGGGAATTGGGATAGAAAATAAATAACTTGGCGGAATCCAACTCTTTTTACAACAACTTTTCCTACAACAGAATGGTTCTGGCGATAAAAATCAATTGCAACTTAAGATTTAGTAAAGGTGCTATGAGAGTTTGGAGACACATTGTTTTGTGATTTTAGGTTTCTGAGCATATTTCGTCGCAAACTTGGTTTACTTTACGAAGATGAAAATGACGAAATGCTTATTCACTCTTTCCTTTGGGTAAGTTAAACACGGTAAGTTTCGCTGAAACCACAAGTTTTGTCAGAAAAAAAAAGCGAACATGTTGGTCCATCTGTATGTTGACCTAAGGATGTCTCTTGTCTTAGAAGCTTTGAGAAGGAGGCGAATTTGCCTTCAAGATGTCATTGTATTTTATCTTTTCATATGGATTCGTATTCATGTTGTCTATGGTTTCTTTCCAGATAATGTCGTCCACTCATGCAGACTTCACTATGGCCTTCCGAGAGTTAAGTGAAGTATCCTTGCATGATGTTAATTCAAACCGCTTGCCGAGAGAAACATGGGCACTCAAACAACTACAGACACACAAGAACTGGGGAGACTGGTTAGCACACTATGTAGACAGGTCTCGGCTGTAAGTATTGTCTGTAGTCTCTGATGCTTTGATATCAAACGGAAATTTACTTCATGCAAATATTTTTTTTACTAGGTATAGTGACACTGATGTTGACAAGGCCAGAAGAAAACAAATGCAAGGTGAAAACTTAATCCCTTTGATTTTACGCTGGTGAAGAAATTACCATAAAGTATTTCTTGTTATGTTATGCAACACTCATCAAAGTTGCACTTCCCCTAAATTGTTACCCAAGCGGATAAGTGTAGGGAAAAAATGAAAGGGTTATGTGGACAAAATATTTGCAACAGTGTAAGGAGTAGATCATCTTTGTCGATCATTTCTGGAGATTTCTTTAGTTTAGTTTTTTAACTTCAGATATTGTTCAGCCCTGTGCACCTACTTAGTGACTTACTGTGCACCTACTTAGTGACTTACTGTGCACCTACTTAGTGACTTACTGTGCACCTACTTAGTGACTTACTGTCTTTATATTCGTTTAGTTTTTTAACTTTAGATATTGTTCACCCCTGTGCACCTACTTAGTGACTTACTGTCTTTATATTAGTCGATGTTTGTGTTCTTCTTTCAGAAGTAAATCCTCGCTATGTTTTACGTAACTGGATGGCAGAATCAGCGATACAGAAGGCGGAAAGGAATGATTTTTCAGAGGTCGGATATTCCTTATTTTTCCTGTGTTCCCCTTTGCAGGGATTTCGATTAAATTATTTTGATGTTGAATGTTTGTTATTAGAATCAAATTTTTTGTCTATTAAAGATTTTGTCTTCAACAGCATATGAAAATAGTTAACGCAGTACACATAGAAATTTTCACTATATCTTCCTTTTAGGTTCGTCAGTTGCTTGAGGTACTCAAGTCACCTTTTACAAAACAGGTATATGATATGCTGTAATCAAACAGTACATTGTCACACCACATTCCTTCCAATATTTCGCGCAGCAATTTCCGTACCTCTGTACGGGAGATTCATAACCAAACTTTTAGTCCGAAAAAACCGCTGGAATTATTTCCTTGTAATTCCCCAAATTAAATGTCAGTGCTGTTATCTTAACAGTCTTAGTGCCAGAAACAGTGAACTTTTGTAACAATTTACAGGAGGTTGCTGAGAACCTTGGATACTCGTCCCAACCTCCGGGATGGGCCTCTCACCTCCGCGTCAGCTGTTCTTCATAGAACATATTTTACAAAGACTGATGGTGTTCTTAAGAATCTTGAAGCGCTGAGTGTCTACTGGGTGGAAGATGACACCTGGAGGAGCAGCTCAATGAACATCTGTTGATAAAAATAGAAACAAAGTGACTTAATCTTAAATATGTAAATACATCACTTCCATATCACCTTAAGTGGATGAGGGCCATCACTGATTAGTGCACAATGAATAAATAAAACTGATTAGTATGAATCAGGGGCCATTGTGAAAGGGGCCATTGTAGTCCTGTAGCATGCACCAATAGTTTGGTTACTGGTTCACTTTCAATTGAGATTTATGATCTTTATTTTAGCCAGAGCGTCAAAAACAACACAAGCAAGTTCACGTTATGCCGGCCGTTTGACCTAATATTTTGTCCTTTGAGCTGACTGACCCCCAACATTCTAGAGAGTATAACAGGGTAATTTATCATTATCAACTGAGTTGATAACGTAAATTGACCACCGCAAAGAGTCTAAAAGCTGACGTTTCGAGCGTTAGTCCTTCGTCAATCGCCCTGACGAAGGGCTAACGCTTTAAACGTCAGCTTTTAAACTCTTAACGGTGGCCAATTTACGTTATCAACTCAGTTGCTAATAATAAATTACCCTGTCACTCTGCCACTGACGCAGCACCACAGTTTCTTTAGAAAGTTATCCCCTTTGTTTATTCTAGGGATTAGCTGTGTTTACTCCCACTCCTCCTTCTATAAATAAACAAATCCGCAAGGCTGGGAAACAAAACTAAAACAAAAGACCTTTAAAATTTTTTACCACGCGATAAGTTTGACAAATCAATCATACAGGTGATAGGTATCATTCAATAATTTAGTGCCTTCTGACTTTTCAATAATTTAACGATCACAAATTATAAACAAAATCTTTTTTTTAAGTCAGTGGTTTTCATTGCCTAGTTTCTTTAGCCTAAGCACGATATATGAATAGTTTTGGAGAAATTCGTGGTCTTAACAACTGAAATACCAGAAATAGACTTTAAAGAAAAAACCGGAGTTAAGGGAGCATGAGTCGCAAACTTCATAGTACGTAGAAGCATGGTGTTCAAAGAAATTTGTATGCTCCATCCAGTTTAATTTGATGGGAGATAGATTTCTATCATTTCTTTTTAAAATAACTCTCGGTTACATCTCCAGATATTTTCTCGCGATCCTTTTGAAAAAGAGTAACTTAACATTGCGAAATGTTTGATATATCAACTTAAGTTTTGCTATTGATCGGATCTCCATTGAAACAATAACACAAACACTTTGTATTCAAGATTAGAATTTGTAAATGGTATCTTTGCTTTTATTTAAACATTTGATATAACATTTGATATAACGTTTGATATAACTGTTGCATTATAGGAAACAGATAAATTACTTATTTTCAAATTAGAGAGTGGTTCTAACTAACAAAAGGTTATCCGTTCAAAGAAATGTCATCGCGACAGATAGCTGCGTGTGGAACAAAAACCACACACAGAAATTAATTGAAGCTTTATTTTAAGCCATGATAAATCCCTAAATTCTCTTTTATTGTTCCAAGAACTATTTACACGGAAAGAAATGAGAATAAATAAGTTTTTTACTTTCATTTTCATTGCTAGTTTTTTTGCGGTTTGTTTTTTACCATAGAGGGATTCCCTCAAATGACACGAATAGTAATGCATCAGCTTCATTCAAACTTGCCCTCAAACACGTGAATGCAAACTCAAGTCTGCTTCCCAACACATCATTGAAGTCTTTTGAGGATCAGCTTGTTATAGATCAGAACAACTTGCACGAAATTGGCAAGCACTATTTGCAGTTTAATTATGATGTATTATCTTTGTATTACAATGCAGTAACTTTCGATGTGGTTTGTGCTTTTTCCTTTGCGACTCACTCATAGCCTTCCTCGAGCGATAATATTTGCATTACGCTATGTGACACTATCCTCCGCCGTAATTAGTTGATTTTTGACAGCTGTGATTGGTGCATTAGATCCTCCAATGTTTTGGGAGTTGCTCATTCGGGGCCGCTGCCCTATGTCTCTTCTGTAGCTTTTTTCTTTTCTTTTTTTCTTTCTGTAAGTTGGGCACTCCTAATGAAAGCAGAATGTAAAACTATATTATAAGGTATGAACGGAGTTAATGAGAAATGTGTCTCTGATACATGGCATACTACAAATATTTTAAACAGTCTCCTCTTTTAAGAATTAAGTCAGCTTAAAACATGAAAACAACGAAAAGATATAAGACAATCGATTTGTGTCTTTATACCTGACTTATTCCCAGTCCTCCCATTTCAAGTGACACAAAAGCAAAGCAAGGGGACCTCTACATTGCTTTATTTCTTTCCATAACATTTCGGGCTCTAACTTCCCCAGGTTGGTTGCTGCGTCATGAGGATGGCTGGGTACCAATTGGTCGAGTGCTGTGTTCAGGCTTGTAATTACCCTACTGTTTGCTTAACAGTCAAACTGGCAAGAAAGTTTTGTTGGGATTTGATATGTAATACTCCACATGTAATAACCTACTACTGAGCTACTGAAGTGTTTGGCAGAGAGTTGAAAAAACATTTCCTCTTTTTCAGATAAAGGAGTTCCACAGCTGTCTGTGTTCAACGTCCAGCAGCTGAAGCAAAGAGCAATGAAAGGAACAAAACAAATAACAGTAAAGAACAACTTGCTAGAGGAGCAAACAACTAGGAAAACTTATTAAAGATATATTTTTACGACTAATGAAGATAATACAGAAATACAAAATGGCAATGAAACAATTTCTTTTCCGGCAAAGTAAAACACATAAACGGATTTTCTATAGGCCAGCTATGCACTTGCCGTTGTAAATGATATGAAGTTTTGTTTCCTTTTTTGTTGAAAGAAAGCTGGGTGAGTGTTAATACTTGAATTATAAAGTACTATCGGCGATTTCTGAAAAAAATAGATATCTCCGGTTCTATTAGGCCTAACAAGTCCCTTAAAACGGGAAAATTCTCTTTAGCTCCAGCTGGTGTTAAATGGAAATTTGTTACTGATGCGCCGGATATCTTTGGATTATTTTTGTCACCATCAAGGTTTTGTTTTCACGCGTGCCGCGAGCAATTTGTTCGTCACGCAACTAATTATGCGTGAAGTAAACTCGAGTCGGCATCATTTTTACGTGTCGCTTTGTGGCACTCTTAATACAATAAAATTCATTTGAGAGGTGGAAACGCATGTCGGTGATAATTTTTTTCAATTCAACTACCAATAGATTTTAAAATTGTCACATAACCCGCATCTCCCTATTGCCCGCAGTGGCGCGCGTTTAATGCAAAATCAACAGATTACCCGCGGGTAAACGGCTGGAAATTACGGTATTAAGTTTTTTACCTGGGGTATAGTTTACAACGTTTTGTTTACTTCTATTAGGTTTTGACCTGGGGTATAGTTTACAATGAGGATTAAGTTCCTCCCTTCTATAATCCTTTTTAATAAAAATATATTATATATGTTATTATTTAAATAAAGTTGTTATATATAAATACTCCAGAAATAGAGAAGAGCAATCAAAAAATCGCTTTTAATTCTTTATTTACATGGAAATCTAACTGGTAAACATCAGAATAAAATCCAGTGGCGTTGTATACACAACTAAAGAGGACCAATGTACTTCAACCATAAAAATCAGCGCAACAAAAGGAAAAACCTGGAGCACAATTGGACCCAGTGCCTCTTTTACAAAATAAATTGTTTATACCTTAAGTGACATTAAATGCAACTTTTCTTAATATAACAATACCTTAAATCTTTAACTGATGTATGTCTTTGCTTCAAAAGGCTAATCAGTAATAAAAATGAACAAAAGCAGTATCCTCTCTAAGAAATTCTGTGATATCTTCAAGGTCAGTAGTTTGCAATGAACATTTCTCTTAAGTATTTATGTTATTTCCACGAAGTACCTCAGTTAAACTCTGAAATAATTCAGCATCTATTACTGACAACAATGTCGCAAATTGCATTTCCAACTTTTACTTTCGGCGTGAGTTTGAGGAAGCCATGATGGTCAAAATTCTGATAAAGATGTTGATGGTGTCCATGTATATCCCAATTGACCTGACCAAAGGAAAATATTCATAGTTGTTTCTTCAGTGCAACGTTTATGTAATTCAAAAGAACACAATATGAAATGAAAACACGGGCAAAATTATTGACGTAGAAACAAATCCTGTCATTCATGTCTAAATCAAATAGAGATTTATTCTATTTGGTATTGTGAAACGAAACTTAATGGATGGCTAGTTTTGGCAACATGTTTCCTAGCTCAGGTAGTGTGACAATTAAACATAACTTTTTGTTCTTTATATACATATTGATTATTTTTTGGGCAGTTATAAGTACATGACTGCACTTACGCATTGATGGGGTCATATGGTACGGCAGCATACAAAGGATATGTTTCTGCCTTTCTGATGATCTTCTGTGTGTCATACAACATGAATCCTCCAAAGATGACAAGCCCACCATATGTAACCACAGACTGCAAACCTACAGCCACCATAGAGCTCGCTGGCAGGAACAATGTACCTGAAAGTACACACAGTCATACAATCTGTTTCTCAAGCTTAATAAAGTAACACATTCACTCCACAGCCATATGACAGCAACTGTTAAAGGTTAAAAGTTTTGAGAAGAAAATTATAACTTACAATCATTGCTACCATCCAGGATTTATCGGATCAAAGGAAGGAGCTTTTCACAACAGCGCAAATTTAAGCAATGATAAAAGAAAGGATTCTCTGTATACACATGCTGTACAATACGGTATTGAGAGTATGTGATGTGATGTAACCCTAAGAGTTACAATGAAGTGGAAACATTTAACAAACTTGCATGGATTGCATTTTCCAGTGTTGGCATTTGGTAAATTAGTTAATAATTATATAAACATAAAGCTCATAGAGTACCAACCGAGCATGTATTACAAGAAAATAATAAACACATACCAAGGCATGCCATACACACACCACCAAGGCCAATGGCCAAAGGTCCACCCCATGACAGAAATTTACCATCAGGTGCACAGGCAGCTGTCAGAGACAAGGCCCCAACGACACCACCAGTCACAGCAGCAGCTCTCAGCACTAATGGACCTCCAAGTAACATGAGAGGGGCGATAAGGGTGCCTATAAGTGCACTGTGACCTGGACACAATCAGACACCAAATAAATTAAACTTTCAACTTAACCACTGCACAAACATTAAAGTAACTTTTCTATACCAAAATTGGTAATTAATTATCATAATTGATAATAAGTTGTTATGAGACTGACAGATCTACCTAATTTCCTTTATTAAATTATTTTTGTTAAGGAACTGCAACATACAAGTCATGATGTTGAGAAACTTTGGTTACATAGAAATTTATAACAGCACGGTAGTATTTTAACAGTGCATCCTGCTGCATTAATTTACCTCTTACATCTAGAGTCCTTTGTTGTTGATTGATGAAATTATTAATAAATTTTTCTCACTGAATTTTGTAACAATCTCATAGGTATTGTTTGATTTTTTATGTACAACTGTAATCAGTTTTTGCAAAACTACAATTAACCTTTTTTGAAAGAGTTCACCTTGGTGCACTTGACTTGTGCAAATAGAAAAAAAAATGAATGAAAGGATATATATACATTTAAAAGGATATAAAGTTTTAGCTTCTGCTTGCATCCATTTTGCTTTATGGGAAATATTAAATTTTAACATTGACCATTTCTTGTTAATGAAAATCAAGCACTTAGGCATGGCTGAATTGACCTTGCCATAATGTGGTCAATACAGTAAGGCCTTAGTTGAAGCTTTGTCCATTATGATCACAATCTCACCGTCAGTCAATAAGTACAAGTACCAGTAGCTAATATTGTTTGTTTTACAATATGTAAAAATCATCCACAGTTTTCATGTACATTGAGACCAAATTTTGCATATGATCACATTAGGATATTTGTTAACTTACCAACCCAAGCAATGTGCTTTGCATTCAGCCCTGCTTCATATGGCAAACTCATACACAATATAGAGCTGCCTATTGTAGCAATCATCCCTCCACCCACAACCTGTTGATTATCAACAAAATGGTTTCACTCCATGAAGCAATTAAACAATACTTCTGTAATGTGAACGAAAATCATGAGCTGCAAGTGAGTGCTTGCTGACATGTCACTCATCAAAACACCTTAGTTGAAGCCAATTACTTACCAGCCATGGACTTGCCCTCATCAAGGTAAACACTGCTCTGCTTTGACTGATAACATATGCTGACACTGCTGTTACAGCCAGACTTCCAGCAAAATAAGAGTAAGTTGACCTCACACGATCACGTACCACCTGAGGCCATACCATAGCACGATCAATTGCACCCATCTCATTGGACAATCCCAAGCCATAATAACAAAGGGCTCCCACACCAAACAAGGCAGCCCCACCAACAACCGCACGACCAGTTGTTTCAGCTGCAAGGAAGACTTTTTTCTTAATAAATGAAAGCTGGTCTTTCTGAGCTGTGCAATCCCCATCCTTAGATCTCAGAATTGTCTTATATAATATTCTGAAGGGAACAGCTCTTGGAACAAATACATGTATCAATTATGGTCCTTCAACATGCTGTGAATGTCCTAGGATGTTTCAAATAACAGATAAAGGCATCTTTTGCATAGCTGCAGGGCGTGAAATTGCGCCTAATACAGGCGCCAATGCGACTAAATTTTTCCCTTTGGCAACCAAATCCTGAAAATTAGTCGCCAAATTGGCAACTAGAATATTTCATCATAACCTTACCAAGAGATATCGTGAATTAAAAAGATTTGCGAAGATAAATCCGCGGCAAACTTCCTCGTTAAGTTTGTTTCCAAAATGCAGCACATGCATCTCGATCAATAACTAGACGCCATCTTGTTTGTCTTTGAAAATGGCGACCAACTTTTTTTGAATTGGCTCCCACTTTGAAGAATTTAGGAGCCAAGTGGCTACCAGAAAAAAAATTAATTTCACGCCCTGAGCTGGTTAACTAATCACATGAAGTCCCAATACAAGTGGCCACATCATTGGAAATTGTTAAGCCCATAAAGGGGCCACTTTGAAGTGACTATGTGGTACCATAAGGTAAAATTTGGCATTAAGATAATGGCAAAATTTGTAATTTCATTTGTCTATATATACAAGCATTTCTTGAAGCCACTAAGTCTGTCAGATCATATATGATATTACTGACCATAATGGAGTCAGTAATGCAATGACTGAATGGCTACTACACTTGTGTCAGTATAATAGGAAATTCTGAAAAAGCTAGTAGCAGAATGACTTGTGTCTGTAAAAGGAAATTCCAAGAGATAGCCAGTAATGCAATGACTTGATGGCTACATTTACGTCCCTATATCGGGAAATTCTAAGATAGCTGGTAATGCAATGACTTAACAGCTACCTTTGTGTCAGTTTATAGCAAAATTATAGCCAGTAATGAAATGACTCAGCAGCTAAATTTGTGTTGGTATATAGGAAATTCTAAGATAGCCAGTAATGAAATGACTTAGCAGCTAAATTTGTGTTGGTATATAGGGAAATTCTAAGATAGCCAGTAACACAATGACTTAACAGCTAAACTTGTGTTGGTATATAGGGAAATTCTAAGATAGCCAGTAACGCAATGACTTAAACAGCTAAATTTGTGTTGGTATATAGGAAATTCTAAGATAGCCAGTAACACAATGACTTAACAGCTAAATTTGTGTTGGTATAGAGGGAAATTCTAAGATAGCCAGTAACACAATGACTTAACAGCTAAATTTGTGTTGGTATATGGGGAAATTCTAAGATAGCCAGTAACACAATGACTTAACAGCTAAATTTGTGTTGGTATATAGGGAAATTCTAAGATAGCCAGTAACACAATGACTTAACAGCTAAATTTGTGTTGGTATATAGGGAAATTCTAAGATAGCCAGTAACACAATGACTTAACAGCTAAATTTGTGTTGGTATATAGGAAATTCTGAGATAGCCAGTAACACAATGACTTAACAGCTAAATTTGTGTTGGTATATAGGGAAATTCTAAGATAGCCAGTAACACAATGACTTAACAGCTAAATTTGTGTTGGTATATAGGGAAATTCTAAGATAGCCAGTAACGCAATGACTTAAACAGCTAAATTTGTGTTGGTATATAGGAAATTCTAAGATAGCCAGTAACACAATGACTTAACAGCTAAATTTGTGTTGGTATATAGGGAAATTCTAAGATAGCCAGTAACACAATGACTTAACAGCTAAATTTGTGTTGGTATATAGGAAATTCTAAGATAGCCAGTAACACAATGACTTAACAGCTAAATTTGTGTTGGTATATAGGGAAATTCTAAGATAGCCAGTAACACAATGACTTAACAGCTAAATTTGTGTTGGTGTATAGGGAAATTCTAAGATAGCCAGTAAAGCAAAGACTTAATCCTTTGACTCCAGAAGTGATCAACATGTAACTTCTCCCCATAATATCCTTATATTACCCAGCAAACAGGTAATGAGAGTAATCTCAAACTTATCAGGTAGAATTTGTTATTTTGATCTGAAAACAAATTCTCATAACTAATTTACAGAAATTTGTAGCACCTAGAGGGGAGAATTCACAATCAGATCTTGGGAGTTAAGGGTTAATGGCTACATTCGGGTCAATATCTAGGGAAATTCTAAGATAGCCTGTAACACAATGACTTAACAGCTAACTTTGTAACAGTATACAGGGAAATTATTTGCATGACAACTTCATGTTGGTTTTAGTGTGTCATTCAGAAATGGGTGTTACTGCAGGAATTTGTGCATAGAAGGCTTGATTTATTCCTTTGGGTATTCATTTTAAGGGGCCACGTAGACCTGCCAAAAGTGTAACCACTAAGTTTGGATTAATGTGTTCAGGAAAGGTGAGATCATCCTGGAGGAAGACTCTAAGGAATGAAACAATAGCACAATTAAGCGACCTTGAGTGGCAGCATCTACAAGTGTATCCCTTTTGTTTTTACATGTCAATGAACTACAAAGAATGATTGAAAACATTTTATGCCTTCAAGTTTTTTTGCTCAATGTTCTCAAGTTTGATTTGTATTTATTAAAACAGAGCATTTTCAGAGCTTTAAGAGACCTTGAACAAGCATATTTGATGATTGTAGGCCAAAGTTAGCATTTTACTTCTTGTTATTGGCATTGTAATTTACACACAGCCATCTTTTACTGGTGCGTGTAAAGTATGAATTCCAAAGAATGACTGCAGACATTTTATGCATTCAAGTTTTGTTTGCCAACTGTTTTCAATTTTGATTTGCATAAAATAGAAAAGGGCATTTTGCAAGGTTTATGGAGAGACCTTTGAATGAAGTGCATTTGTAAGTCATCAATGCTTGGACCTTCCCATAAGCATGTGCCAGATCACGATCGAAATTTACAAAAGTCCGATCTAAGAAAATAAATAGCTTCGAGTCTGACAGCTCTTAGCACATTTTTACAACTCTGAAATTAATCAGAAGCCTTTGAAAGCAATTGATGAGGGAAGTGTTCATGGGATGGGTGCACTTCCTAGCCATTTTTGTTAATGAACTCCAAACTTCTGTTGTTTATATACTGTCTGTTGTTTCATTTCTATTTATAACCCAAAACCCCTTGACCTATCGTGCCATCCCAAGGTTCACGTACGAAGAGAAGTAGCATCCTATATTATTCAAATTATCAAGACTGTAATATAAACATAAATGCCCCCACAAAGTAGTGTCTTCCATTCCTAGCCAGAAAGTTGTGTTGCTTACTGTCAAGCATCAAAAAGTTGTGAGCTGTTTTGAGTTCTCTTGTGATGGATTTTAAAAAGGATTTGAAAGCTTTTACCACTAGTTCCCAGTTGAAAGAGAAAAGAGAAAACCTTCAGTAAATAAACTTGGATCATTTGGAGAGAAAAAAAATCAAAGAATTTTGGTTTGGAATGCTCATTTGCCAGAATATGATGCAGAGACCGCGTTAAAGAAATGGACAAGATTTTTAAGCAAGTTCATGGCAAATTTTGCCTTCTTTTCTTCTTATCCAATAGATCCAACAGAGAAAAACACAAATATCTTCTAATTACAATAAACACATATATTTTCACATTACTGCTCTTAAAGCTGAAAGGTCAATGAAAAAGTTAAATTCTTGCAATTTGCTGTTTGCATATGTGAGGCAGTTTACTTAGCTTATGTTTTATTTTGGAGGTAGAGTGCCTTTCAAATTCGGCATTCTTTGCTTTGTGATTAAGAAATTAAAAGCAAAATTTTTGCAATTGAAGCTACTGTTTGTTTTTGGACGATAAACAAAAGAAAATTGTCACACATTTTTCAAAGGGCATTCTGATTTCTATAGAGGTCTTACATTTCTGAGTGAAATTCAATAGGAGATCTGCTGATTTGGAAATGAACCTAAAAGATAGCATGAATATATGAATTTTTAACCCTTTAACTCCCAAGATATGATATCATCTCCTTGTAAATTAGTTGGAAGAATTAAGTGTTAGATCAAAATATTAATTTCTACCTGATAAGTTTGAGTATTCTCATTACCTGCTTGCTGGATAATGTATGGATATTATAGGGAGAAATTACTTGTCAATCACTTCTGTGAGTTACAGGGTTAACGACCCATGAAACGTAGGGACACACTTAAATTGACACGAAGTTGCGATGGATAGCCACAATGACTTAATGGCTACATTTGCATCCATATAATGGGAGATTCAAAGATAGCCAATAGTGCAACAACTTAACGGCTACATTTGTATCGGTATAAAGGTGGGCAAGGTATAAAGGTAAGGTAGCTGTTAAGTCGTTGTGTTTCAGCCCATCTTAGAATTCCTTTTATGGATGCAAATATAGCCATTAAGTCATTGCATTACTAGCTATCTGAGAATCTCCCTCTATACCGACGCAAAGGTAGCCGTTAAGTCATCAGGTTACTGTCCACCTCAACGTCAGTGATACATAGGTTTGAATTCTTCTGACTTAGCTAGAGGCTATTAAAATTTTACAAATGTAGACCAAAAAAATAAACGAGATTTGAAATTATCATAATTCCCGGTAAGATGGAGTGAATGTAAGCTCAATTAAATAACTAGGTTCAAATTTGCTCAAAAAAATGCGATAAAACATGGCTGAAACTTACCAGTAATACCAGGTGCCTTTGATGTCCCTTCCCACGATCTCCAGGCCTTAGTTTCGTTTTGAAAATATCTTTTGAATCTCTTGCCTGGAAATCGACCCGCACTCTTTGACAAATTCTGGAGAGAAAAGGTCGATAAGGTGCGATAATAAGCTGAAGAACATCTACCTGCTAACCTCATTGTAAACATATTTATCCCCTAGGCTTTCAGTAAACCTGCGATGGAATCACTCCTCGTAATTTGTTCGCAATTTCTCTCTCATGTTGCGTCAACTAATCCGAGTGTAAATTTCGAAGAATTCCGCTGACAGTTTATGACGTCGCGAAATTCTATGCTGGAAGTGAAGGAGTGGAATCGAGTACTTTTTTTTATCACAACCCAGTGCATTGGACGTCCGTGACATCAGTCGAGTTGCGATTCTTCTCCAAATTATCGAGTTATTTATCGGCATACTCTCAAGTGATTAATTAAATTATTTATCCTTTTACATATTTCTCACCCAACAACTCAAACAGGCGTAATTTTATTGCGCTTTTCAAACAAACGATGCAAACACGACGAGAGCGCGAGGGGCGGGCGAGCTGTAGGGGGCTTTTCTGCCAGCTATTATTCTGCCGAGTCTGTTATTATTAAACTTTTGTCTTATCTCTTATCTCTGTTTTGCGAATTTATTCATACAATCGTCTATCTACACCACTATCTAAAAATATTGGATAGGCCTAATGATGAGTTCAGTTCAGCCGCTGAATTGCGTGACAGACTTCAAGCCGACGTTCGATCAGGACAGGAGACGACAAAATCCGCGGTGTGATTTTTCACTGCAGCTATCACACGCAATAAATTTCCCTAAAATACTAAATTGTCTTTTTGATTCAGATAGAAATTCCGAACATTTCCCGTTATTTAGTTACGAAATAGCATACGAGACATAATAGATCTAGCCAGGTTCAAACATGGGAAATTTGTCCATGTGAGTGGTCATCATACAACATCGGAACCCTCACAGCATGACCGCAAATTACCATGAAACCTAAGCATAGAAAACAGTGTTACTCAGAGGTTATCACGTAAAATAACGACATAGTCACAGGAGCAGTTAAAAGAAACAGTGTTCCGATTATTTAAATACAAAATTTTAATTTCAGGTCGTTAATTATTCTGACTAAGATAAACAAAATGGCCAATTGAATACAAATGCACACGAAAGAAATATAAGAAATACAAACTATTCCGACGTTTAAGTATCATGTAACAATAAGTGGTCTTAACCTGCACTGCGGGAGAGCGGAAAACAAAACATTTCGTTGTTTCCTTGAGAAGCTGGAAAATCAACACCTCGAATGAGTAAATAAGCCAAATGGATTACATTTAGCTTTTTTATATTTGCATAAATGCCTTAATGAAAATTTCGGAAACATTTTACGATAGAAAATGAAAACTAAAGGGATGGACTCCATGACTGTGCCTGATTACATAAAAATTCTCCTCACAAGTCAGTTCAGCTGGGTGTTAATCAAGTACCAAAAGACTTCGTTCAAACTGAATACAGACTCACGTACGTAAAAATTCACATTTCGTCGTCCAAACATGTAATGTCGTCCATCTCCTGCACTATTTCTTTTATCTTTCCACCCCAATTTTTTATTTCAGAGGTCGTTTCCTCCTTTAGCCGCTCAAGTTTGCAAACTTCCCTCTCGGCTACTTCTGCTCTACCGTTGGCTTCTTTAACTTGTTCCTTCAGAAACCTCATCTTTTCTTCGCTTAGCTGCTCCTTCTCGCTAGCCTCTTCGTCTAATTCCTCCAGTTCCTTAGTTTGTTCGGTGAAATTGCTCAAGGTATCCTTCAATTTTTCGTATGTATCTAAATATTTTTCTTCTTTCTCTTTAGCAGCCTGCAGATCGCGTTTGATTACCACCATACGGCGCGAGGCTTCGTTCAGGAGGTGAACCTTTTCCTCCCTTTCCTTGGCGGCTTCGACACAGTTTTCTTCCAACATGCTGATTTTCTCGTCCCCCTCCACTTCAACCTCCTCCAATTCTTTGCGAACCATCTCTTCGTTTTCGCCTTTCTGGGTGATCTCGCCTAGTTTTCCCTCCGCCTCTTCCAAGCGCTCTGTTGTCTTCGCAAGATCAGCTTTTAGCAGCGTAATCCTTCGCTTTAATCCTTCGGCCTCGGTCTTGTCTCTTTCAACCTTTTCATTTGTATCTTTCAGCAAAGATTTTGCGTCAGCCTCTCTCTCTTCTGCTTGCTCAGTATCGTCTTTTAATTTGGTCATTTTTTCTTTCAGTTTTGTAAGAGACATTGTAGCTTTTGCTTTGAAATTCCAGGAAGATGTCTAAGACAACGAGCATAAGGCGGTTACGTCCTGTGATGCTTGAGTGATAATCAACCCAAGTATTACTGTTTGATCAACAACCGCCAAATGACAAGATAATCGCTCTTGATTTGCATCACTGCTTCAGATTGGTCAGAATTATTTACTCAAGGGACCGACGTAATACTTTGATATTCTTAAAGCGACAGCTATCAGTCAAACAAGACTGTCAACAGGGCAGTTAAACCGCGTCAATACTTTAGTGTAGTTTCTTGTGAAATGAAATGTCAAAATTAACACTTAGAGATTCTTTAACTGAAGGACTGGCCAGATGGTAGACTGGCTTGCATTGTAATTCTTTGGATTGGTCACAACTGGTTGCAATTCCATAGTTATGAAAATTTTATAAAGCCACCAAAAGCTGTGTGAAATTCCGGACTGAGGGGAGACCTTTAGAGTCGGCCTGAATCTGTATTCTTGGCAAATAATAGAGTGTAGTCCTTTGTAATATACGCAGTCAAACATAATGATGGTGTAGTTCAGTTTGAGTAATCAGGCAGACGGGCCGACCTTCTGTATAATACTGCAAAACCTTTCGCCGCGCTCTGTCCGGTTACATGAATTTTCCTGCCCTAAAATGAGATGAAGGACAAGATAAATCAATTGTTTTATCAGACAATGGAGTATTATTAGATATTGAACAAGATGACAATCTTAGTTTTGTATCAAACGTGATATTATCGCCAAAACAGTTCAAGATCCGAATAAAACAACTCAGATAATTCAAGAACAATTAGCCGCTCACTTTACTCGCATGAGAATCGAAATGATTTGCAGCGGACCAAATCTCAGTTATTTCCGTCGAGGGAAGGCAATCGGAACTTGAAGGGGCGTACAATGAAATCGCTGAAAGGTCAGCAGGATTTGGAAGCCTGTCTGAATACACTTTCATGCTTTAAAAAGGCCAGAACATGACCTGCGCATGCGAACTGAAAACTAATTAACTTGAAAACATCCCGTGCGGCCTTTAATGGATATAACGGCGTTAACACAGCCTATAGAATCTACGATTTTACGCCACTATCTGCGTCAGTATATTAATAATAATAATAATAATAATAATAATAAATTAATATGTAATAAAATTATATTCGTAAAATTTTACAGTAAATATATTACCGAGTGGAGGAAATTACGCCGTTAGTTAACAACGGAATACCGACTGGAAGTTGTTACGCCGTCACTGGCATAAAATCTTACAGTATCTATATTACCGACTGAAAGTAATTACGCCGTTAGTTATCGCGTAAAATCTTGCAGTATTCATTTATATCGACTGAATGAAATTACGCCGTCAGTTAGTGGCGTAAACACTTACAATAATATGTATATATACCGACTGGAAGAAATTACGCTGTTAGTTACCGGCGTAAAATCTTACAGTATGTTTATATACCAAGCGAGCCAAATTTTGATGTAAGTTAACAGCGTAAATTTCTACAGCGACTGGAAGAAATTTCGTTGGTTGTTAACGGCGTTAAATCTTACAGTGTGAACTTCACCAACTGGAAGAAATCACGCCGTTAGTTAACGCACAGTCAGCCCAAGCTCCAGCTTGAACATCTCACGAAATAAGTGTTATGGGGAAAATATAAGAGTTTGTATGGGAATGTTTACGACCGCTCTCAGGAAAAAAAAATTCAGTCAAACTCTCAGTAAAACTGATACCCCACCTAACTTTGTCAGTGCATTGCTTGTTTTGTTACCGCTTACTGTGTTGCAACGAAGCCATTTAAGCGAGTCATCCATTTCTAGTTTACTATTCTCCAAGAGTAGTAAAAATTAGAAATGGATAACCCGCTAAAATGGCTGCTTTTTAACATAGTAAGTGGTCTGACAGCAAGCGATGCATTGTGGAAGAATTTTATAAAATGAGAATTTGATTGTATTTTTACTTCCTAAGAGCGTTCGTGAATATTCCCAAACAAACTCTTATATTTTCACCACAACTCTTATTTCGCAAGACGATCATCTCTCAGTTGGAGCTTGGGCTGCCTGTGGTTAATAGCGTAAAATCTTACAAATATGTATATACATATCAACTGGGCCAAATTACACCGTTAGTTAGAGGCAAGTGTTGAGAGAAATCACCTTAACAACGGGTTGGCGTACGTTGCTATTGTAATATTTTAAGCGAACAGGTTATAATTTCTTGGTGGCGTTGAACTCCCAAAGCCACTTTCACATTCACAACTTTTCCATTTTTTTCTTATTTTTTGCATGCATTTTAGGATTATTTCATTTAAGTCTGTCTTCCCTGAAGAGCTGCTTTTTCATTTCTGTCGATTTGCCGATAATGTGCGTGAGAGGTGGCCTCTATTCTTGCTGTAGACAGCCTTCATATCAATTTAAGATTGTGATTTTGTTAACGGGTATAGCCCTGAAATTCGACCAAAATCACCCAAAAAAGATCGGACGTAAAATCAACTGCATAATTAATTTTGCACCAAACACAATAATAGCACGTGACCAATACGTCTTGCGATTGTCGCGTTCCTCAGCCTTGCGCTCTGCTTTTTGCCTTCAACAATGGGAAACGACAGCGATTTGACACCTGTATCTCACAGCTTGATAATCAAACACTTCGCGTTAGTCCTCAGCTCCCTCTTCAATCTGTTTGACTGGGGCACTCTTTGGTTTGCGTGACCGGGGTGTGGATGGTAGAGCGGAGAAAAAGGTCGTAGAGAGGCGGTTATGCTCATAGGCCGAGCTCATTTCAATGCGCACCCTGACAAACAGGTCATAAAATCGCGATTTGTCCACATGAGGACTGGAGTGGCCCATAACCTAAGTTATGTCAATGTGCATTCTGCAGCCTGGTATTAGGTAACTGAGTGAGCTGAAGTTTCTCCGTCCGTGAATAAAATTTCTCATATTTACAGAGA